GGAACGCACCACCCCTGCACCCTGTCCCCAATACTGTGCCCGCCTGCTATGCGCAGGATGAGAATGATTACATACAGGTTTGTTCACCTTGACGGCCCAATAAGTACAAGACGTGCCCATATGGCTGATGCCTGCTCCACCGCCTCTGCCACGCGCCTCATTCCTCAGCCTCCCCCTCCACTCGCCTCTCTCACAAGCCTCACCATTGCCATTGCTACGCCACGCCATTTCAGGTCGCTGATCGGTGATCGTTGATCACTACCCACTGCTGGCAACATGTCTAAAGAAAAGGGCCTTAAGAAGCTCTTCCATCCCTTCGACCACCGTCTTTCGGAAAAGGTTGAGGAAATTGAGCAAAAGCTTGAGCACACCAAGCTGCGAGGCGCACATATCAAAGCTGTACACCTTAAGCACAAGGTTGGAAAGTTCGGCAACCTCTTCAACACCAATCATCGCCATGACGAGGATCACGAGAAAGCAACCGACGCCAAGAGGAGCAAGATCGCCGAGAGCCATCGCTTCAACAGCTTTGCGCCCGAAAGAGACGGCAATCTGGTGAAATGGTACGTCGATGGTCGAGACTACTTCTGGGCCGTTGCCGAGGCTCTGGAGAAAGCCCAGGAGACCATCTACATTGCAGATTGGTGGCTCAGCCCAGAGCTGTTCTTGAAGCGGCCGCCTTACTACAATCAGCAATCCAGGTTGGATCAAATTCTCAAGCGACGCGCCCAGGCTGGTGTCAAGATTTACATTTCTGTGTACAAGGAGGTAAGCATGGGTATGTCTGCTGTGCGTCCAGCTACTCACCTACCATACAGGTTTCTGCTGCTCTCACCTGCAACAGTCAGCATACCAAAAAAGCCCTCATGGGTCTTATAAAAGAGGGTGAACCTGGTTACGGGAATATCAGGGTAATGCGGCACCCTGACCATAATGTGTTCGAAAATGCCGCAGACATGACATTCTACTGGGCTCATCACGAGAAGTTCATCGTCATTGATTATGCCATGGCCTTCATTGGTGGACTGGATCTGTGCTACGGCCGATGGGATGAGAAGCAGCATCCATTGTCTGATGCACATCCCTCCGGTGTGCAGAACCAGATTTTCCCTGGTCAAGACTACAACAATAACCGTATTATGGATTTCGAGAGTGTTGACGACTGGAAATCAAACAAGCTGGACAAGCTCGAGTATGGTCGCATGCCATGGCACGACGTTGCCATGGGAATCATAGGCCCGGCAATCTACGACATTGCCGAACACTTTGTTCTGCGGTGGAATTTTGTGAAGCGTGAAAAGTACAAGCGTGACGAACGATATGACTGGCTTACTATGGAAGGACGTGAGGGTGCCGACGAAGACCTGATTGGAGTACAACGGCCTAAGTTCCCTGTTGGTCATTACATACACCATCCCGTGACGCAGCTCAGTAGCAAGAATCTCGACAACCGTGGAACTGTACATGCACAGCTTGTCAGGAGTAGCGCGGATTGGAGCATGGGCATCGAGCCTCATGAACAGAGCATCCAGAACGCTTATTGCGAGATTATCCGGAACGCCCAACATTACGTATACATTGAGAACCAGTTCTTCATCACCGCGACTACCAAACATGATGAGAACCCAGTCCACAACCAGATCGGAGCTGCCATGGTCGATGCAGTTCTGAAGGCTGCTAAGGAACAACGGAACTTCAGGATCATTATCGTCATCCCAGCTATCCCTGGTTTCGCGGGAGATTTGCGGGATCAGGCTGCGGCTGGAACGCGAGCTATCATGGACTACCAATTCAAGAGTATTTGCAGAGGCGACGAGAGCATCTTTGGCAAAATCAAGGCTGCCGGTGTCGAGCCCGAAAAGTACATTTTCTTCTTCAACCTCCGCTCGTATGATCGCATTAATGTCACACCCAAGCTCAAGGAGATGGAGAAGAAGTCTGGCATGACGTACATGGAAATGGAGACTGCTGAGATCGATGAGCTCGAAGCGCCCCCAGAAGAGGGTGGAGATGAAAAGCGACGACTAGCAGCGGAGATGAGGAAAAGATACATGGATGAGGATGACAAACTTGGAAAGGGCGATCAGGGTGGTGTGATTGACCCAGATTCCATTGCCGACGACGCCATGCTCACTGAGAAGAAGCCCAGCGATGAGGAGTGGGAAGGTGAGGCCGAAGACGAGAAACAGTACTTCTTCCAAGAAGAGCTCTACGTCCACGCCAAAATCTGCATTGTCGACGACAAGACCGTCATCTGCGGCTCATCCAACATCAACGACCGCTCACAGCTGGGCTTCCACGACTCAGAACTCTCCATAGTCCTCCAAGACACCGACCTAATCGACACCACACTCGACGGCAAACCCTACAAAGCCGCCCGCCTCGCCCACGAACTCCGCAGTAATCTCTGGCGCGAACACCTCGGCCTCCTCCCCCCTCAAAGCCTCAACGCCACCGACGACCCCAACGCCCAACCTCCCGGCGAAAACTCCCGCAACGACACCATGCCCGGCCCTGAAGCAGATTTCGTCTCTGACCCCCTCTCCCCCAAACTCTGGGACGAATGGTGCACCCGCGCCTCCACCAACACATCTGTCTTCCGCGACCTATTCCATGCTGACCCCGACGACAACATTCTCACTTTTGAAGACTATGACTCGTTTACTCCGAACCCGAATTCTGATAAAGAACACAAGCAGGGGCATTTGTATGATGTTGATCGCCCGGCCCAGGAGGTGAGGAAGGAACTAGATAGGATTAAGGGGCATTTGGTATGGATGCAGCTCAAGTTTTTGGAAAAGGCGGATATGGCGGAACGGGGGTTGCAGGTTAATTCTTTTACAGAAAGTGTGTATACTTGATGTGGCTTGGGGGTGGGGCTTGTTGGTGTTTGTTACGATTCCCTATATTCTTTTGGCGTATTAGTATGTATTCATGAGTACGCTTTTTGACTTGATAACTTATTTCCTGTTGAACCAAGTAATTTTTTTTCGTTGACACTCTTGATGTTTGATGTGCAACGTGAGTGATGATGGGCTTGTAGCTAGGTAGTTGACAATCCATGTATATATCACGTGGTACTGGCTTTAACTGACTTCCCACAATTACAATGTGTAGCTATGGAAAAAGGCAGAATTTGATTGGCATGATTGCAAAATGGACTACGGGGGGTATCATACAAAAAAAAGGAATAGGTAGCCTACAATGAGCAAAGACAGACCTGTTTCTACAACGCCGAAGAAAAGGGTTGAACTTTTAGTTATTGGGAAGTATCCCCGTTAGTTTGCTTCCCCTTTGCCTTCGTCTTCTTGGCAGTCCCATTTGCAGTCGCCGTAGTACTAACCGCTCGTTTCCGGCGGGAACTCGCAGTCGAAGACGGCGTATCCTCTCTTGCATCCGTAGCCAGATCCTCTGGCAAAAACTTGCCGCTTCCCGTAGCTTCTCGAACCAACAGTGTGTACAGTCGATGGACGGCAAGTTGGGTTGCACTTGAATCCTGTGACTGTGACGGGGATCCTTGGTCAGTGATGGAAGTGTCTGGCAGGGTGTCGGGGGCGACGATTTTGAGGCGCTCGGTGCCGAGGTGGAAGCTGGCGCAGGATATACGGGATATCTGGACTTTTGGGTGGGACAAGTCGAGGGCGAGGTGGCGGTTTAGGTAGTTGGATAGGGCGGCTGTGAAGGGTTTGCTGTGGGTTGCTTTCAGCAGCTTTCCGCGCTGGACGAACCCGGCTACGTCTTCTGCCGCGATTGTGACTTCAATATGTTTGAGGAGGCTTGTGGCATTGGGGAATGTGAGTTGGACATGTAGCTGCTTTATAGTATCTTGGATAGATAGAGTCGAGCTGCGTGCTGTGAGATGACTGAAGAAGGTCTCGAGGGACGACGTGATAAAGGAGGAAGGAAGCCTCAAGGGAGCTACATGGGCGTCGAAGGTGGTTCGGACGTAGTTTAGAAATATCTCGCGTATTGGCGCTGGCATCTTCACGAGCACAAGAGGAAGCGAGGTGAAGCCATTGGGCGAAGACGTAGCATGCGGGTCGCGTAGAAGGAGGGCATTGTATATGTTCTTCTCATACTCGAGGCTCACATGGACGCCACGGGCTCGGTCTGGGGTGACATCTGGCGCGAGTCGCGGTGCGCCTGGGTCCTCTGACTGGAGACGTCGGTCAATCCAGGCATCCTCGTCGCCAAGCACCTCCCAGCGGCACTCTTCGAGCGGGCCCAGCTTTGCCGTCTCCTCTCCGCCGGCAAAGTCGACCTGCACACCGCGCACATTGTCGCCCTTGAGCTGTTCCTTGAGCCGCTTGGCGTGGGCGCGCATGGACTGATCGCTGAGCAGAGCCGAGTCGCCATGGTGAAGTGGGGATGCGCGATACAGGTTGTAGGTCCTGTTTAACAGTGGGTAGGGGGGCACATATGCCATGATGTCAGCCGTCCTCAGCTGTTGCGAGGCGCGCGGTGGATGCAAACACTATGCGACGACTATCGAGGTGGTGAAGAGAAGTCGCCTACAACAGACGCGTCGGCGCTGGCACGGAGCGACTGGAGCATGACGCGACGCGTTGCTGTTGGTGATAGTGTTTGTGTGTGTTGATATTTGGTGTTGATGTTTGGACGGTTTGGTGTTGGCGTGCGGTGATGATGCGGCGGCGGCGGCGGCGGACTTGGAGGGCGGCGGTGGTCTGTGCCGTCCGCCCGCCCAGCAAAAAAGAGCCCCGCTGTTTGGGGCCATCGAGAAAGTTCTGTGTGGTTCCTTTTGGGTTGTCGGGCATTCTTGTTAGGTCATACCAGCGCAGTCTTGAAATTTTGAAATTTTGCGGCGCGTGCCTCCCTGTATTGCTTCGCTACTACTCCTCGACACTTGTCCTGGTTTACCGCCCATAAAATCTCGCCGCACTAGATACCCCATATACCCTCTCTTACCCCTCCACACGCAAACACAACACAACACAACACACCCACTCCCCCCATACACACCCCACCATCACAGATCAACAATGTCTGTAGTAGGAGTCGACTTGGGTACGCTCAACAGCGTCATCGCTGTTGCGCGGAATCGTGGTGTCGATGTTGTAAGTGCCACCGCATATCCTTCACTGTCACTGTCGTCCATGGCTCACACTGACTCACTATCCAGATTGCAAATGAGGTTTCCAACCGCGCAACACCGTAAGTAGCCCCCTCGCGAAGACATCACCCCTCAGAGAACACTCGGCTGACTGGCCATGATACAGATCACTAGTAGGCTTCGGCCCCAAGAGCAGATACATTGGTGAGATGGCCAAGAACCAAGAAATTTCCAACCTCAAGAACACCGTCTCGTCGTTTGTGCGCCTCGCCGGCCGCAGTCTCCAAGATCCAGATGTCCAGGTTGAGCAGGACTTTGTCTCTGCCCAGCTCGTCGACATCGACGGCCAGGTGGGCGCAGAGGTCAACTACCTGGGCAAGAAGGAGCGATTTACCGCCACCCAAATCACCGCCATGCACCTCACAAAAATGCGGGCCACAGCCTCTGCCGAGCTCAAGCTGCCCGTAAACGACATTGTCCTCAGCTGCCCCGTGTGGTACACCGACGCCCAGCGCCGCGCCATTCTCGACGCCGCAGAGATTGCCGGCCTCAAGTGCCTAAGACTCATCAACGACAACACCGCAGTCGCCCTCGGCTGGGGTATTCCAAAGCTCGACCTGCCTGGCCCAGAGGAGAAGCCACGGAGAGTCGTCTTTGTCAACATTGGCCACAGCAACTACACAGCCACTGTTGTCGAGTTCCGAAAGGGCGAACTCGCCGTCAAGTCGAGCGCTTGGGACAGGCACTTTGGTGGCCGCTACATCGACAAGGCCCTTGTCGAGCACTTCGCCAAGGAATTCAAGGAGAAGTACAAGATCGATGTCATGGAGAACGGAAAGGCGCGTTTCCGTCTCGCTGCTGGTGTTGAGAAGCTCAAGAAGGTTCTCTCTGCCAACAACATGGCGCCCATCAACGTCGAGTCCATCATGAACGACGTTGACGTGCGTGGTATGCTCAAGCGTGAGGAGCTCGAGGAGCTGATTAAGCCTCTCCTTGAGCGCGCCACTGCGCCCATTGAGCAGGCTCTCGCCGAGGCCAAGCTTACCGTCGAAGACATTGACTCGATTGAGATGGTCGGCGGATGCACACGTGTCCCTGCGCTCAAGACGAAGATCCAAGACTTCTTTGGCAAGCCCCTGTCCTTCACCCTGAACCAAGATGAGGCTGTTGCCCGCGGATGCGCCTTCTGCTGCGCTATCCTCTCGCCAGTCTTCCGTGTCCGTGATTTCTCCGTCCACGACATGGTCAACTACCCCATTGAATTCACATGGGAAAAGTCAGAGGACATTCCCGACGAGGACACCAGCCTCACCGTCTTCAACAAGGGCAACGTCATGCCATCCACCAAGATCCTGACCTTCTACCGAAAACACCCCTTCGACCTGGAGGCCAGGTACGCCAAGCCTGAACAGCTTCCCGGAAAGATGAACCCCTGGATCGGCCGTTTCTCCGTCAAGGGCGTCAAGGAGGACCCCAAGGGCGATTTCATGATTTGCAAACTCAAGGCACGCCTCAACGTGCACGGTGTGCTCAACGTCGAGTCTGGATACTACGTCGAGGAGACCGAGGTCGAGGAGCCAATTCCCGAGTCTCCATCAGAGAAGAAAGAGGGTGATGTACGTTTTTCTGAATTTCCTAATGATTCGAGTACCAGCGAGCAAAGTTCAGCAGAACGTGCTGCGAAACGATACAAGCTTAGCGATGATTCTGTACATGCGCGTCCTTTTGCTTCTGCGCCCGAAATAAATGAGCTAACGAATGATGCGCAGGCAATGGACGTGGACAAGGATGCTCCTCCGGAGCCACCGAAGATGCGCAAGGTCAAGAAGCAGCTCCGCAAGGGAGATCTGCCTCTGTCTGCAGGCACTGCTTCGCTTGACGATGCCTCCAAGCAGATTGCGGCTGAGCGCGAGAACGCCATGATTATGGAGGACAAGCTCGTTGCCGACACCGAAAACGAGAAGAACAACCTTGAGAGCTTCATCTACGAGCTCAAGGACAAGATTCTCGACGTCTACGCTGAGTTTGCCAGCGATGACGAGAAGGCCAGGCTCAACCAGAAGCTCGAGACCATCGAGGTAAGTTCCAAAACTATTTTGCAGAAGGAAAATAGTACTAATAAAGACAGGAATGGTTATACGACGAGGGCGACGATGCGTCAAAGGCACAATACGTCTCCAAGAAGGAGGACATCCGCTCCATTGCCGGTCCTATCATCCAGCGCTACAACGACAAGATTGAGGGTGAGAGGCAAGCCGCCATGGAGAAGCAACAAAAGGAGCACGCTGCCAAGCAGGCTGAGCTGGAGCGCGCAAAGCGGGAAGCCGAGTCTAAGAAGCAGGCTGACGCGCCACCTGCTGAGGACTCAAAGGATACCGAGATGGCTGATGCCGAGGGCCAAAAGGCCGACGGCGCTGAGTCCTAGACGAGGAGATGTATGCAGGCGTATGGGCAAATGGAAAAAAAGCATTTGGACGGCGTAGTGTATATGACAAACTACGTTTTGGGAGGAAGGAAAGTGGTATTCGACTTTGTTCATTTTGTTTTCTGTGATGAGATCATGGTAATGCGATGCTTATGATAGACCAGTCTATAGATGAACGAATATGAGATTCGATGTCTTCAACGCTGGAAAATTTGGGTGTTGGATGTTGAATATTTGATCTTCGAGGAGCACGGTGACGGGGGCGTCAGGTGTCCCATCGTCCACATTGAGTAAAAGCCGAAAAGGAGTAGCGAGCGAATGAGAAAAGCTGAGCCGTGCCATTAGCGAGCTTCAGGCTGCCTTTTGATCCAATGCACCATGCATGAACCAATTGCTCCTTCAGTTTACTCAGCTTTTTATCACTCCACCCCAGCCTTATCGCCGAGTGAGAGTGGTGCTATCATTGCTTGGTAGTCGGAATGTTACAGGAGCTTACTAACGTACCCCTGATACAACCAGCACCGCCTGTGTCTACAACATCTATCCTGCATACTGCAAGTACCGGGAGGGCGCGGAAGAAATCAAGGTCGGGATGTGGGACGTGCAAGTATGTTGCTATTATTTCGCTCCTCCTCCGCGGACCAATCCACTGTTTTGGGTTTCTTGCATTTTCTCTATCGTGAACGATATAGGATTGGAAGGACAAGATGGGGATCCCGACCCATGCAAGGTACCCTAGGTTGATACATACCTGACATGGAAACAGAGCACGCAAAGTAAAATGTGACGAGACAAAGCCAGTCTGCAATCGCTGTCTCAGTACTGGCCGGACTTGTGATGGCTACGGTGCCCAGGGAGGAGGAGGAAATACTTATCTTGATCGATATGGCCGTCGTTCCCAACCAACTACGACTTCCTCAGAAGTTCAGCTTTCAAAACCTTTGGCAAAGTCTTTTCCATCAGACGAGTTACGCTACCTTGAGCTGTACAAACAGCGCGTATCATGGACGTCGTCAGGCTGGTTTGGGTATCCCTTCTGGCACGCAACTGTTATCCCAGCCCTTGCCTCTGAACCGGCTATCATGCATGCTGTCATTGCGCTGAGTGCTGCACACGAGTGTAATTTTATTCCAGGCCAGAGTATCGACACGAGAGAGAAATTCGTTCTCAAGCAGTACAGCCAGGCGATTTCCGCCTTACAGCCGATGCTGGCGAGGACCAGTGATACACAGGATGTCGCTGTAGTACTGGTAACATGCATGCTATTTACATTCCTGGAGTACCTAAGAGGGCGCCACGAAATCGCCGAGACCCATTTGAAGAACGGAATCAAGTTACTAGGCGACGGCCGTGTCCCGCGCTCCAGCGTCATGGAACAAAGCATTGTCCGCAGCTTCGCCGCCCTCGTCACGCAAAGAACCCTCTTCGGCTCCGACTTCCACCTCTCCAACCCAGACATCTTCCCACACTCGCTACACACCCTGAACTTACAAAACTCCATCTTCGCAAGTCCCGAAGCCGCAAAAGACGCCTTAGACACTATCCTCCGCCGCATAACCCACGCAGAGCACCTCTTCCAAACCTCCCAATCCCACCAGTCCCCCCCTTGCTTCGAAAAAACCCAATCCCACCTCCTTACCCTACTGGATTCCTGGCATGAAACATACAACCGCACCCAAGCCCACCTGAACTCCTGTCCGCCAGACAAAGACACACCGGCCTTTGGATCGCACCCCGGATCCTCGCGCACACCCCTCTCCTACACCCTCCTCCTCATGTCCCACAGCAGCGCCCAAATCCGAACGCACACCCTCCTCTCCACCTCCCCCTTATCCTACGCCGCCCACACGCCCCTCTTCCACCGCATCCTCTCCTGCGCCCGCACCATCCACATCGCCTACAGCTTCGCCGTCAAGATCCCCCAAAACGTAAACTTTGAAAATTCAATCTGCGAATCCGGTGTCGTTGCTTCCCTCTTTTATACTGGAATCAAATGCCGCGTTCGCTGTTTGCGGCGCTACGCGCATGCGTCGTTGAAGGCGGTGCCGCGCATGGAGGGGTGCTGGGATAGTCCTGTTGTGGCGAATGTGGTGGAGAGGGTTATGGGTATGGAGGATGTGGGCGTGTGGGATGGAAGTAAGGAAGAAGAAAAGGATTTGACGACACTCCCGAAGTTGGAGGTTGTGGAGGAGGCGGAGAGAGGGGTCGTGGTGCAGGAGGAGAAGCTGTTTCGGAGTGTAAAGGTGGAGATGAGGGGGGAGGGGGGTAGGGCGGAGGTTAGGTGTGAGAGGGTTGGTGGGGATGGAGAGGTTGAGGTTGTGGTGTTTGAGGTTAGAAATAAATGATTTTCTTTTCTTTTCTTTTACTCTTCCTTTGGTAGCAGTATAGATTGTCGGTAGAGGTTGGGTGCAATTTTGCTAGCCAGCGGATTAGTCTAGTAGTGGCGAACAAGGGGATATTTCAACGAGGTGATACTTGAAATCGCCAAAGAAACAACACAAATTCAAGAGTGGGAGAGATATCAACTATCAAGCAATACAACAATGGGACAAAAATAATTTCATGAGGGGGATAGAACAAGGCGCCATCCATCCACTATACATAAAAAAATCGTTCCGTCCGGGTTGGAAATCCATTTCTCATCTAGCCAGAGAGGTAAAGTTACACGCACATATTCATCCGCCCTGAAATGCACCCAATTACAACAAAATCTACAACATAAGCTCAAGAGGGTTCTCAATTGCCTTCTTCAGCTCACGCATAAACTCGCCACCAACGGCACCGTCAACAACCTTGTGGTCAAAGCTTCCGGTGATGACAATCTGGTCGTCCCACTCAATGCTTGCCGAGCCATCCTCGGAGGCCTCGCCGGGTACGGCAACCTTCCTGGTGGCGCCAATGGCGACAATGCAGGCTTGCGGGGGGTTGATGACGGCGGTGAATCGCTCGACGGCGGGGTTCATGCCCATGTTAGAAATGGTGATGGTTCCGCCCTGGTACTCCTCAGGCTTGAGCTTGCCATCGCGTGCGCGCTTGCCAAGGTCCTTGATCTGTGATGAGATGGTCTGGAGACCGAGTCCAGTGACGTTCTTGACGATGGGAGTCATCAGGCCAACAGGGGTGGAAACGGCGACCGAGACGTCGACAGTGTTGTGCTGGCGGATGATGACCTTTCCACCCTCCTCACGCCATGAGGAGTTGGCAGCGGGGACCTTGCTTGCGGCAATGGCAAGCGCCTTGACGAGCAAGTCGTTGACCGAAAGCTTGTAGGCGCCGTTGGCGGAAGCGTTAAGAGCCTCGCGGAGCTTGAGAAGCTTGGAGACGGAAATGTTGGAGGCGACAAAGTAGTGGGGGTTCTGCTGCATGCTCTCGGTAAGACGGCTGGCGATGACCTTGCGCATGCTGCTGGCCTCGGTATCCTGGTAAGCAGGGCCCGCGGCAGCGGCAGAGGAAGCTCCCGCAGCAGGCTTGTAGTTTTCAACATCCTGCTTGGTAATGGCTCCGCCCTTGCCAGTGCCCTTGATGGAACCGATCGGGACGCCCTTCTCGAGAGCGAGCTTCTTGACGGCGGGGGAGATGGCAGGCTGGCGCTGGAGGGCCGTCTCGAGACGGGCACCGGTCGAGTCTGATTCGATGGCAGCAGGTGCGGACTGCTCCTTGGCTGGAGGGGCGGTCTTGGAGCCGGAGTTGTTGGGGGGCTCGCTGGCTTCCGAAGCCTCACCCTGCTTGGGAGATGAAGCGGCCTTCTTGTCACCACCGGCGTCCTCAATGGAGAAGCTCTCAAAGGCCGAGACGTCTTCACCTTCCTCAACCATGACGGCGATTGGCTGTGATGGTCAGTATAGTGATTCCACGTGAATTCCGAGCACACTTACGCTTCCGACTGCAACATCCTTCTCACCAGCGTCGCGGAGGATCTTGGCAATGGTGCCCTCCTCCTGGAACTCAAAGTCCATCTGTGCCTTGTCCGTCTCGATCTCGACGAGCACATCACCGGGCGCTATCGAGTCGCCAACCTTCTTCTGCCATGCGCCAATGTTTCCGGAGGTCATGGTCGGGGAGAGGGCAGGCATGCTGATAACGCTGTGGGGTGGGTAGGCTGCGGCGAGGGGAGGTTAGCGGTGCGGACAGGACGTGCTAGCAGACAGCAGGATGCTCACATTTGGAGGCATAGTACCGGGCGAGGGCAGAGAGGGCGGGTGTGCGTCTACATGTTTCGCGGTCAGCCAGTGATGTCGGGATTGGGCCCGGGATTGGTGTTTGCAGGCCGTGTGTGGTGTTGTAGGGATGGCAGCAACGTACGCGGTACAAGTCGCGGGAGAGAAGGCGCCGCGCAGGGCAATTGAACCCCTCGAGGTCAATTGGGAGCCCGCCCGGGATAGCAGAGTGGTGGCAGCGGGCATTGTGTCGGGGTTCCTGGATGCGCTGAGATTTTGCTCTAAGCGATGGCCGGGAAGAGGGAGGGGAGAAGCAGCAGCTCTTCTTTCTTCGGGGGCAGGTCGGGAAGAGAGCAGGCGCAGGCAATGGAGCTGGGAGACCGCTCAAGGCTCTGGAGCTGGACTGGGCAAGGGAGAGATGGCAGACTGGAGATGTCGCTCAACAGAAAAGTTTAGTGCTGGCCAGCTTGTTGGAGATCCGTCGGCGGGTACTAAGCGTTATGACCCGATGGCCCTAACGCGAGATTTCGGAAAGGCTTGTGGCGGCGGTGGCTGATGATCCCTGAGTGGCTGACCCGTGGGTGTGGCTGATGTGGCTAGTGTGGCTTGACCAGCTAGCGCCCCCAGTCGGCCAGGTACGCAGCTCACCAGCTCTGGGTCCGCCCCAACTAGCCAGGAAAGACACTTTGTCATCTCATAATTAGGCACGGCCCGCATCCTGGAATCGGCCTGGATTGCATTACGTTGCCTTGTGCGCCATTGCAACTGTGCGACTGCCTTCCCGTCTCTTGCTTCGTGTCTGAATTGGGGTCATGGATGGTCGCTGACCCAAGCCCGCTCGTCCTCCAACCTTGGTCCCTTAATCATAGTAGCCTGGCCGTAGTCGTGACAACCTACTTACACACACCACAATGGCCGACACCGAGCCCCCACCAATAACACAAATACAGGCCTCGGACGCCGAGGAAAAGGCCGCTGCCATGGGAGAAAATGAGACGCCTGCCGCAGCCCTAGAAAAAACAACGGACGACGAGGAGAAGAAAGAGGCGGAACAGACGGACGAGGATGAGGACGAAGACGACGAAGACGACGAAGACGACGATGACGACAGTGACTCTGATGCAGGCTCCGAGCATGCCTCGCCTGCCCCGGATAAGGCAGAAACAGAGACAGACAAGGCAGCAAATGCAGAATCAGAAGCACCAGCAGTAAAACCCTCTCGGGAAGAAGCCGACACCTCAACATCTACAACCGAGGCACCAGCGTTATCCGTCCCGGATACCTCAGACCCGCCGCGCACCTCGGAGCAGATGTTCGACCAGCGCCTCCCCCTCGAATCCCGCTCACGAACAGACTCGCAGTCGACCGTCGCCACCACCGCAACCCGCCCCTCGACGCGCAGCTCCCTCGTCTTCGTCGTTACTGCGCTCGAGACCATTGCCGCTTCCAAGGATGCCCGCAAGAACAAAAAGTTGGGCGACAGCACCAATGCCGCCCTGTCTGCCATCAAGAACGAGGGTGACCCCGCGCGCATCAACCCCGAGGTCCTATTCGAACCCCTTCAACTCGCCTCAGAGGCCCCCAATGTCCCCGTCTCTATCACCGCCCTCGACTGCATCGGCAAGCTCATCAGCTACTCCTACTTCTCCGTCCCTACCGACCCCCGCCCTGACAACAGCGAGGCACCGCCCCTAATTGAAAGGGCCATAGACACAATATGCGATTGTTTTCAGGGTGAGGCCACGGCCCCAGAGATCCAGCTGCAGATTGTAAAGTCCCTGCTCGCCGCCATATTGAACGACAAGATTGTGGTACATGGAGCCGGATTGCTCAAGGCTGTGCGACTCACGTACAACATCTTCCTCCTATCAAAGTCGAGTGCAAACCAGCAGGTTGCTCAAGGTGCACTGACCCAGATGGTCGGCACTGTTTTTGAAAGAGTCAAGGCCAGATTGGCTGCCAAGGAAGCTCGGCTGAATCTGTCACGCGTGTCTCTCAACGACAAGAACATTTCTGGAGAGAGTGTACATCGGGGAGAACCTAGTCCAACAGGCTTCGACGGTGATGAGCCCAATGGCGAGGATGAGCCTGATGAATCAGCCACGCCCAACGACAAGGCCGTCGACCAACACACCGGGCCCAAAATTACACTACAAAGCTTTGAAAACAATATGAGCTTCAACGACGACCGTATACACGATAATGCGCCAACGCTCGTGACTCGGATCAAAGCCAAGGCTGGCTCGCGGCAGGTCTCGGGCCAAGACGGCGCCTCGCCTCACATCAACACTGAAGAAGAGGAAGAGGACGAGATATTTGTCAAAGATGCGTACCTAGTCTTCAGAGCCATGTGCCGGCTGAGCACAAAGAGTCTGTCAGTTGACCACGCTCACGATGTGCGGTCGCAGGGCATGCGCTCCAAGCTTCTCTCACTGCACATGATCCACACCATCTTGTTCAATAACATTGCTGTCTTTGAATCACCCTACGCTACCATACGCAGTGGCAGCGATGAGCCTACAAGTTTCATTCAGGCGGTCAAGCAATACCTGTGTTTGAGCCTTAGTCGGAATGGTGCAAGTTCAGTAAAGCAGGTGTTCGAAGTGGCCTGTGAGGTATTCTGGCAGATGCTCAAGTTCCTGCGCATATCACTCAAGAAGGAAGTCGAGGTGTTTCTCAAGGAAATTTACCTGGCAACATTAGACAAGCGAAGTGCCCCTGCATTTCAGAAGCAATACATTTTGACAATATTTGGAAGGCTGGCTGCAGACCCCCGAGCCCTGGTAGAGATCTATCTCAACTATGACTGCGACCGCACCGCACTTGACAACATGTTCCAACGCGTTGTGGAGCACCTGTCCAAGATTTCAAGCAACCCTGTCACAATCACACCAATGCAGCAGCAGGCGTATCAGGAGCAGCGGGAAAAGCAGGCCAAGCAAATGGACTGGCAAACCCGAGGCACCCTGCCCCCCTCGCTCACTACAGCCTCCATGAACTCTTCACATGAGACTGAACAGAGCTTTCCTCAAGAATATGCTATGAAGCAAGAGTCGCTGGAGGCATTGGTTGAGATACTGCGCTCGCTCGTCAACTGGGCGCAACAGGCGCTTCCCGAGAATACAAAGGCAGTCCATTCAAGCTTGCGCCCATCACTAGATGACCTTAGAGTATCCATAGACACGCGAACGCTCGCAGAGTCTCCAATGATTGGTGCAGACTCTGGCACAGTCACGCCGCTTGCGGAAGATGACTACAGCCAGCTCGAAAAGGCCAAGCAGCGGAAGACTGCTCTGACGAATGCATTGAAGCAGTTCAACTACAAGCCGAAACGTGGGCTCAAGACGCTCATAGCAGAGGGCTTCATTCCCTCGAACAAGCCTGAAGACGTTGCTCGTTTCTTTTTGGATAATGACCAAATCGACAAGACGGCACTTGGCGAATTTCTCGGTGAGGGCGATCCAGAGAATATCGCCATCATGCATGCTTTTGTAGACTTGATGGACTTTTCAAAGACACGCTTCACCGACGCCCTACGACGTTTCCTTCAGAGCTTCCGATTGCCCGGTGAAGCCCAGAAAATTGATCGTTTCATGCTGAAGTTTGCGGAAAGATATATTACTGGCAACCCCAACGCATTCGCCAACGCCGATACAGCATACGTCTTGTCGTATTCAGTCATTATGCTGAACGTCGACCAGCATAGCAAGAAGATGAAGGGCCCCCGCATGACACCGGCTGACTTCATCAAGAACAACCGCGGTATCAATGACAATGCTGATCTCCCGGAGGAGTATCTCCAAGGCATATTTGATGAAATCTCACGAAACGAGATCGTCTTGAACACAGAACAGGAGGCTGCTGCCGACAAAGGCTTAATCAACCAGCAGCCTACTGGCGGACTGTCAAGTATTGGTCAAGTACTGACAGGAAGTGCTCGCGACTCTCAGCGAGAAGCAATTGTTCAGGCTTCAGAAGCAATGGCCAACAAAACCGAGCAGCTCTACAAACAGCTCCTTCGTGCTCAGCGGAGAACAGCCGCCACTCCCACTGTATCCAAATTCATTCCTGCTTCATCCTCCAAGCATGTCGGTCCAATGTTCGAAGTCGCCTGGATGCCTGTCCTGACCGCTCTCTCTGGCCAAGCCCAGGATCACAACATTGAAATTATTCGCCTGTGCATTGAAGGCATCAAGTTATCAATTCGCATTTCATGTTTGTTTGACCTCGATAACTCGCGACAAGCTTTCGTCGCCTTCCTCTCACGCTTCACGAACCTTTACAACGTGAGCGAGATGAAGGTGAGGAATATGGAGGCTCTGAAAGCATTGATCGAAATCGCACAAACAGAGGGAAACCTACTCCGAGAATCATGGCGCGAGGTACTCACCTGCGTGTCTCAACTGGACCGTTTCCAGCTCATCTCTGCTGGTATCGACGAGCGCGCCGTTCCCGATGTGCTTAAGTCTAGTTCGGGAACTTCGCAGCCGCGCAAAAACCTCAACGTCCCAGGGAAGAACCGGCGAGCAAACTCGACAGCAGGCAACTTCGGCTTCCATTCGGAAGTGGCCGAGGAAAGTCGGTCAGTCGAAATCGTTAGAGGGGTAGACCGCATTTTCACCAACAGCGCAAATCTATCGGGAGAAGCGATTGTCGATTTTGTCAAAGCACTCACTCAAGTCAGCTGGCAGGAAATTCAATCCTCCGGTCAGAGCGAGTCGCCGCGTACTTACAGCTTGCAAAAGTTGGTAGAAATCAGTGGCTACAACATGACGCGTGTACGTTTCGAGTGGACCAATATCTGGCAGGTACTGGGCGCTCACTTCAACGACGTGGGCTGCCACACCAACACTAACGTTGTCTATTTTGCTCTGAACTCGCTGCGGCAGCTGTCGATGAAGTTCATGGAGATTGAGGAGCTGCCTGGTTTCAAGTTCCAGAAAGACTTTTTGAAGCCTTTTGAGCACATTATCAACAACACCAACGTCGTGTCCGTCAAAGACATGGTACTACGCTGCTTGATTCAGATGATTCAGGCACGGGGTGAGAACATTCGCTCGGGTTGGAAAACTATGTTCGGTGTCTTCACTGTGGCTGCGAGAGAGCCTTACGGTACGTTGAAATTGGTTCAGGTCATGTATAGTCACTAACGAAAAGCAGAGGGCATCGTCAACCTTGCATTTGAGAACGTCACTCAAGTGTACAACACACGATTTGGCGTCGTCATATCGCAAGGCGCCTTTGCTGACCTGATTGTATGCCTTACTGAGTTCTCAAAGAATTTCAAGTTCCAGAAGAAGTCACTACAGGCGATAGAACTTTTGAAGTCGTCTGTACCCAAGATGCTCCGGACGCCTGAATGTTCGTTGTCTGCTCGCGCCGGCTACTTGAAAGAATCCGAAACGGCCTCTTCGATACCAAAGCAGCCCAGCCGGCAAACGCAGGAAGAGCAGTTTTGGTTCCCTGTCCTCTTTGCTTTCCACGACGTCTTGATGACTGGCGAGGATTTGGAAGTGCGGTCAAGAGCCTTGAGTTATCTATTCGACACTCTGATCAGCTACGGTAACAACTTTCCCCGTGAATTTTGGGACATGCTTTGGCGGCAGCTGCTGTACCCAATCTTCATGGTATTGAAATCCAAGTCGGAGATGACAAAGGTTTTGAACCACGAAGAGCTTTCCGTCTGGCTTTCGACAACCATGATCCAGGCTCTGCGCAACATGATTAAACTTTTCACACACTTTTTCGATTCGTTGGAGTACATGCTCGACCGCTTCCTCGATCTTCTGGCACTTTGCATATGTCAAGAGAATGACACATTGGCACGCATTGGCAGCAACTGCCTCCAGCAGCTTATATTGCAAAATGTTCAAAAGTTTACGCCAGGCCATTGGAGCCAGGTTGTGAGAGCGTTCGTTGATCTCTTCCAAAGGACAGAAGCTACCGCATTATTTTCTGCAGCCACCAGCGGATCTTCACCACAGCACCCTCCAGTGAATGGATCGGGAAACTCGGCAGACAACATGACACCAACAACAGATGGACCAACGGGCGAGCTCTCCCTGCAGACACCTGCGGAAGAGCCAAAGGTAGACAACGCGCTTGGCATCAACGGCCTGTCAAACGCACAGAAGCCATCCCTCGTCGCCTCAGAGTCTACCAGTACCCTTGGTGGCGAGCAACGCATGCCCTCTCCGCTGCCCAAACGCCAAACACAAGAGCTTGAGGACTATCGTCCTGAAGGCCAAGACCTCCAACAGCCTCCTGTTGTGGTCACCGCCGCTCGCCGACGTTTCTTCAACCAAATCATAACCAAATGTGTTCTTCAGTTGCTCATGATCGAGACGGTTCAAGAGCTCTTCACCAACGATGCCGTCTACGAAAAGATTCCCTCAGGAGAACTCTTGCGTCTGATGGCCGTACTGAAGAAATCGTACCACTTTGCAAAGCGCTTCAATGCGAACCGCGACTTGCGGTCCCGACTCTTCAGGGAAGGTTTTATGAAGCAGCCGCCGAATCTGCTCAAGCAGGAAAGCGGATCTGCGTCAGTCTACGTGAGCATTCTCTTCCGAATGTACCACGACACGTCCAACGACCGCGCTGCCTCGCGCGCGGACACTGAAGCTGCGCTGATCCCCCTGTGCGAAGACATCATCGCGTCCTATGTGGAGCTCGATGAGGAAACCCAGCAACGCAACATTGTCACTTGGCGACCTGTTGTTGTCACCGTGCTGGACGGCTACACTGGTCTTCCCAACGCCGACTTTGAAAAGAACATTGATCTTTTCGCACCTCTGGTAGTCGGGCTCCTGGGCACTGAGATGGCACCAGACATTCAGCGCAGCGTGCAGGCACTTGTGGGGCGCATTTTCGAAACTAAACTTGGAATGGCCAAGGTACCGCTCATGCCGGCCGCCAGTCGGAGTCCGCGGGGAAGTTTTATAGGCAGCCCTACGATGGCGATGCAGAGGAGGTTCAGCACAAGCAAGGGCGGGAGGTAGTGTTTCAGATTTGTTTTTTCGGCGTTTTATTTCAAAGATACCCTTTTTAGGGGGTTTTACAATTTAACTCGATCGAGGAGAATAGTAGGGGTTTCTTTTTCACATGGCTTCTAGCCTGACGGCAGCTTTGGGGTCTGTGTTTTGCATCTTTGGTTCCTCCACTGCTGGAGAGGGGTGTTCCTCTTTTTCCATATTTGTGCATCTGTGACGACAGGCGTTTGGCTCTAGACACGAAAAGGTGAATGATACTGAGTAATGAGGCTGGCATTACGCTGTATGAACAAATGTACATTTGGATATGTTATTCAAGCTAAAAGAATCCCCTTAGGTTGGTTCCATTTTAGTGAGCAAACAAATCTTCTTGCTAATCTCCATAGAGACTTTTATGTAGTTGTTGTAATAGATAGCAGCTGAAAACTCGGCTTGTTCCGTCAAAGATGAGGCTCGAGTCTTTTTTTTGGTGTAATAATCTTGTAGTTTGGTACTACTATCAACCTTGGCAAAGCTTATTTCAATTGTAAGTACTATTTACTTGGAAGCACTCGTAGTATAGTTGAATGATTTCGCGGCATAATTGTCCTCACGTGATAACACGAGACGAATAACTGGGTTGATCTTATGTCACAGCTTCCACGAAATGAAGGGCTTCAGGCTGTTAGTGGGTAAAACACAGTGGTAGTACAATATCAGCGGCGGTATTGCGGATATGAAAACGCCCAAGCTTTGTCGATCTGGTAGACAGGTTTAGTCAGCCCCTACTGGTTATTTTCGCCACCTCTATTCCATTTCAACTCCACTCGTACTATTAGACTTTGAACAACTGCTATCATGGAACAGCCATGTCCTCTCATAGAGCAGCCTGGTACCCCTAAACATCGCCGCACCACTCCTCTGAGTAGGGATGATCGGTTGAGGATTCATACATTATGGAAAGCTGGTCATAAACAGCAATGGATAGCAGACCATCTTGGCTTCAAACTTCGTCAAGTGACGTACGTACTTAGCGGACCCGTAACACCACGAAAGAAGACTGGTCGGCCTAAGAAAAAACCAGCATCAGAGGAGGAGGTACAGGAACTCAGAGATGGGCTGCAGAATTTGAACAGCAGACTACTCGAGTTGAAGCAGGGGGTGCAAGGTCCCAGTAATGGGCAAAAAAGTATCAAAAATGGGCCAGAGAGCTTTAATGGAAAATCCCAAGGCATAAATAATGGTCTGCAGCATGTAGAGCATCAACCACAAGATGTTCAACAAGTTCCGCAGCAAGTATACCATGGGCATCATTTGCCAGGACATATCAGCCAGGTGCCACAACCAGTACACCATCATGGGATTCCAGGGCAAGTCCACCAATTGCCGCAACACCCACATCAGGTGCTTCCACAAAACCTTCATCAGGTACCGCATCATATTCATCAGGCGCCACAACACATCCATCCAGTACCACAGTCGATTCATAAGGCACCGCATCAAATCTACCAGGCACCACAGCAGGTCCATCAGTTATCACAAAACGTACCTCAGGGGCCACCACGGAATGTAGTCCCGGAACCGCAACAAACAACAAGAGCCCAGGAGCCGCCAAAGCAAATACCGGGACTCCAGCAGCCGCAACAGCACGTAGTCCCGGAACTGGAAAAAGACACCAGAAGTCCAGGAACCGCAGATATCAGGGGATGAAGAGTCGCAAGATACGGCCATCGAGACGCCATCAAACGTTGTAGATAAAGAACTAGATACGAAATGCGTAGATCGGGAGCAGGAGCATGCCGTTCAGAAGGAGCAAAAGACATAACTACAAAAAGACGGATCAGGAGCCTCAAGACTCTCCAAAGTCACAGAGGACTACCAAGAGTCAGAGCATGAAGACAATGAGTGGCAAAATAGTGGGATTGAAGGGGAAAACAAAGAGGGTAGATGAGAGGAGGTGAAGGTAATACATCGCACCGTCACTACAATCAGTCTAATTATTCTACTTTCATCATAATACCACTTTAACCAAAATACAATTTTTTTTAAAGTAGCTACTATTTTCAAACCCCATACCAACTTCTCAATATCTTACTCATTTGGCCCACAACTCAACAATCAATCACCAAACATCCCATCCCATCCCTTCAAAAAAGAAAATCCGTACAAGCTCTCACACCATCCCCACATCACCCCCCCACCCCTTCCACCTACCACTAAACATTTTTTCCAACCCAAAAAAATAATTTCTCGAACCGCAAAAGAAAAGGGCGTCTACGGATGAGACAAGAGCAAAAGGATAAAAAAAGAAAGCGACCGATGTGGGACTCGAACCCACAGCCTCAGCCTTAGGAGGGCTGCGCGCTACCATTGCGCCAACCGGCCTTGTTTGATTTGATGGAAGATTTCAGTCTTGTTTTGAATATATATCGCGATGTTTAGTACTTGGGCGGACGAGATGCGCCACATGCGCCCCCCCCTCCCCCATCGCAGTACAGCAATACACGTACCTGGAAACCTAGAGAATTTTTTTCTCAACACGTAGGAAGGAAAAAAAAAAGACAAGCTATAGAGTTTCTACATGCGTCTCTTGTACAAATACTCTCTACCTAGACGAAAAAATCCGCAAACTGTATAGAAGAGTAGAAAAGTGAAAGAAGAAGAAAAAAAAAGGTATCATTTAAACAGTCAAGAACATAATACCCCCCTCTACACCTACACCTACATGACCTCTCTCTCCCCCAGAAGAACACACGCTTTTCCATAACTGTACAAAAAAAAATATCCTTACGCGGCACCCCCAGAGAAAAAAACCTCATCCTCAAAAAGAAAGATAGGGAGAAAAGAGAAGAAGGGGAGATATAAAGGGTCGATGAATCACGCACTCTCCGCCCTTCCACTCCCCCTCCTCGCAACCCTCGCGACGCTCTCTCCACGCTCAGCCTCATACCCCGGATCCTCACTCAATTCACTCATACTCTCTGCATTACTCAGCATACTGGCGCGTTTGCTCTGCCAAACAGGTACATTGCCATCACTCGGTGTGCCTGGTCTGGACGACGAAGTCGGGTTTGCCGTTTGTTTAAGTATAGGACTAGGAGGTTGACGAGCGGACTGCGCTGTTCCTTGGGAAATGAGAGTGGAACTGGAGCGGAGGGAGGATTTGCGACTGGTAGTCGTGCTGCTGGATGCGTTACTCCAGCGGCGCTCGCGGGATTCGAGGGGGCGGAGGCGGGCGTCGAGGTCGAGGTCGGTGGTTGTGGGGGTGGTGCTGCGGGAGGAGGAGCGGGAGTGGGAGCGGTCTCTGTTGCGGGTTGGTTGGAGGAGGCTGGAGCGGCGCTTGCGGGAAGAGCCCGTGTGGGAGAGAGTGCGGTGGTGGGCGTGGTGACCGGATTTCTCGACGTCAGCGCTGCGGCTGCTGAGGCCGCGGGCACGCTTCCAGCCGCGCCAGCCAGTCCACCAGAGCCAGCCGCCTTCTTCGCGGGCGATTTCGCGTTGGCGGGCGCGGACGCGCTTGCGGAGTTCGGCTCGTCGTTCGTTTTCCGTGGCCCAGTATTCATTTCTGTAGACTTCCCATTCTTGGCGAAAGTCGGGTGTGAATGGCTTTGGTAAGAGAAGCAGCTTGATGTAGTCGCCTCCAGGCGCAATGTCTTCCTCGGCATACTCCTTGCCATCCTCGACTATACGGTGTCTTGGTCGACCTCCATCCAACGCATGCTTACTCTCTTGTGCGACATTGATAAAGTGATATGAGCTTCCTCCAGTCTCTCCGCCCCAAAGACCACCGGAGAATGGCACAACGAAATGCGCCCACTCGACCAATTCTCTCCACCATGGCCCTCTTATGACGACAATCTTGGCATTCATACCCCTCAGCCCGCGGTTGGCAACACCAATCCAGCGCCGTGGCCACCGGACTCCTCTCTCCCATTGTCCAGTTGCCCAGAACAGAAGGGCAGTCACAACACCTGTGATGAAGCCGACCTTCTGTAGCATATCAAGTAGCCAGTATTGTGAACCGCCAATTCCCTTGCCGTCCTCCCGCGGCCGTAGCCACAGTAGGTAGAAGCAGAAGCCTATCCATACTGCCAGCAGCGTAAGCACAAAAGTGTTTTGCCGGCGCCGCGCGCGCAAGGTGAGGTACTGGCTGCGGAGACTAGCTTCTAGGATGAGAAGATTCAAGTATATCTGGGGCGGGGACGATGGGAGTAGGGCCGTGGGGTCGCTAATAACGGGCGGTCGCGGGGTTTTGATGGTAGGGAGTCGGTCGTTTGCGTCGTGGGGGCCGTGTGCGAGTATCGAGGCCGAGTATGGCGGCGGGTCTCTCTCCATGCTCTCGGCGAGCTTGTTTACGTTTGTGCTGGGCGGCGGAGCGCCTTTGACCATCTGGTCCAGGGTCTGGTTCGCCATTTTGCGTGTGGTGTTCACCGTCCGTGGCGTGCTTCTGTGACGTCGACTGCGTCTGCGTCTGGCGATGACATGTGAGGCCCGAGTCACAGGAGCCGAGAGTTGTACAGTAGTAGTAGTAGTAGCAGCAGCAAGGGCAGAGCGCTATTGCATGGCGATATATGTGCCGGGAGAACGCGTCCCTGGGTTTGTGACTTTCACGTGAAGATGCAAGGGTCTCGTGCTCATATCGAACGAGAGAGGGACAGACAGAGGGTGTCGTGTATGCGTGACTTGGATGGCATGGGAGGATGCAGCCGCTGGCCTAGCCGGGAGCGGTGAGGACCAGGATTGCTGGCACCGTTGTGTGTCTACCCCACCACGCCTAGCATCGTATAGGCAGGCCGGGCTGGGAGGTTTCGACGACATGAGGTGACACGTCCTAGGCCATGCACTAGATCAAGACGTGGACGGGACGGGGCCGGGGCAGACTGCATGCAGGGCCTCATGTGAGGAGATCATCTCTGCACCCGCCGGCCATGGGAGGGGTACCGTCCACCCGGGCGGAGTCTCTACACCCACAACCCATCACGAGTCGACTGCATCTAAACAAAAAAAAACTATGCTAACATTGTCATGCCTGCAGTTGGAGAGGCTCTACTAACCAAACGCCAAGCTGTTCACAACCCAACCGACAAACGCCCAATACTATGCACATCTGTCTATCCACCCAATTCTATCCGCGTCTTCGTTCCTGTTCTCTCCGCCTGACTTCCTCCATCTCCTCTAACATCACCCGGTTGAACTGCTCCCACCCGTCCAGGTACACATGGTGACCCGCCTTGTTGATGATGATGACCTTGGCAATGCCATGATCTTGCTTCTTCTCCTCGGGCGATGCCTTTGCCAATATGCGTTCACGCTCCTGTTTCATCTTCTCCTCCGCAGCGAACCCGCCCGCAACATCCATCCAGTCATTTTCTCCGTACATGAAGATGACAGGGAAACCCTTCTCGCGCTGCGCGGCCGGTTCAGAGCTTGCAGATTGGTTTGGTGGGGCATCGCCATCCACAAAAGGCGTGTCATGTGCTTGTATCCACTGCCGCCCTACGCCCTGTATCCTCCGAATCAGAGGGCTGCGGGCAAACGCACCGGGGGCTAGGAGGTATGACAGCGCATACTCTGAACTACCGCGCTGGCGGAACAGAGCGTAGCTGTAGTCGTGCAGTGCCTGCGCTTCCTCTTCGGGCAAATGTGAGAACCGACGTGATGTCCATCCCGACACAAGACGCGGTCCAAGAGGTCCTGACCAGCGGACAAAGGTAAAGGGAGATACCATATTTGCTTCCCAGAGTGAATACAACCACCATGGTAATCGTCGTTTGGGTGGCTCCTTGCCGTCTTTTGCTGGGGCTGGGACATGTTAGTTGTGTGCTGACACCACGAACCCTGGTCTAAACGTACCTTTCCCCCCCTTTTGCTGGTTCATGAAATTGTTTTTATCCGCAGTTGACGCCTGCACCCCGCTTTGGTTCGTCTCGGCAGCGTCCTGGGTAAACTCGTTCGCCATGGTTGAATCCTGGGGTCCGGGCATCTCCTCATCGACTGCATATGGGTCTTCTGGTATGCCCACTGGGGAAGCCAGGATCAACTTGTTCAGATGGCCCGGATACTTCAATGCGTAGGCCACAGCCAGGTATCCACCCAGACTATGGCCCAGCAGTGTGAAGCGCTCCAACCCTCGCTTGATCCTCCATTCCTCGAGCGCGTCCACGAACCACGACTCGGTTTCTGCAATCTTGCCCTCCTTGTCTTTGGCGTGGATCTTGAACGGCGGCCGGCTACTTCGTCCCATGCCTAGCAGATCCAGTGCATAGACCTTCCAACCCTCGGCACGCGATATGGCCTCAAAGTTGCGATAAAAGAAGCCCAATCCAGCACCATAGCCATGCAACATGACCAGATTGTTCTCCACCTCCTCACCCAAGCGCTCGACAGAAAACTCATTGAGCGCGCGATCCTTGCCACTCAACTCGACCATCTGCGAGTTCCATCGTCGTGGGCCATAAGGGTCGTTGGCCGCAGTAGTCGTGGTGTGGTCTTCGGGGTGTTTCGGTGGCGCATTCAGGTCGACGGACGAAGGCACTGCAGAGCCTGAGGCGGCGCCCGTTTGCGTGTGTGTCGGTGGGCTCTGGAGGTGGGGGACAAAAGAGAGGACGCGGTGTTCGGTTGCCATAGGGGAGAGACCAGCCCACCACTGCTCGAAGCCTGCCTTTGCTGACAGCGGGAACCATTTGGAGAAGCGACCTTGTGCCTCTCCTTGCTCCTTTGCGCGCTGGCTTGCCAGCATACTTTGCTGGCCTCCCTGAGCGCCTTCTGGATGATCCGGGGCCGCCATGGTGGAATTCGCTTTGCTTTCGATACGAATGGGAGTGCTGAGGCTCAGGCTGATGTAACTTGCGCCACCAAATCCAACGCTCTTATGAAGCACGCTGCGGGCAGTTGGTCGTGCCAGATAGGACTGGAGCATTCGCAGGCGCACCGTGTATGCAGACAGGGGATTCTTTGTTATAGTAAATGTTCGCAGGCGCGAACTCAGAGTAGGTGGCGGTATGATTGCGGTATTTGTGGTGTCGCAGAGCGCCCTGAGGCGCTGACTGCGATGAAGTAAATTGGGGCGAAGTGCTGACGTCGACGCTCTGGACGAGTTCGGATGGCGAATGGAGATTGCGACACGGAGATAGTAGTGAACACCGGGCCGTATCGACCAAGACGTCGGGCGAATTCTCAGCCCGCCCCGTCACACCAAGTATGGAGTATACTTACGTATCATGTAAGGGCTGAGGTGGGCAAGCCGGGTATGTACATGCGTCAATCCTGACAACGAAGCGAGCAGAGAAACAGGTGTTCAGAATGCCATGTGCCATTGCTCAAGGCACCATCGATAAAAGTCACTTGAGCCTCATCACCTGCCTGGCCGCGCGCACTACCGCCCCCCACCAATCACGATCCCCTGATCCCCCACACCGATGACCAAGACATTCCTTTGGCGGCATTCAATCCGTTGCCTTGAATCTTCACCGTCATAGGCACAAGATAGAAATAGCCGGGAGAGTTTGTATGTATGTATTGTTGCTTTGTCATGTACATCGTAATATGGTATCCCTCGCTATGCAAACAGGAAGAAACAAAAACTCCGGTCCCAATGCAAATGTCCTGCATGCATGTAGTGTACAGTAATCGCCTTTAGCTCCCTCGTATTCTTACAATCTCTCGGCTCGCCATCAAAAGCATTCGCTATCGCTCGACGCATATTTCTTCTTTCTCAGGTGCTGCAGTGAAATGCGCCATGGAATCCAACAGGTCTCTTTGTCGGTGAAGTTATCGTGCCGGAGTGTGGCAGACTACCAGAATGATTTGTCCATTTTTAATCCGGAGTTTCTTGTTGTATGTTGAGGGTTGGCATTCGGCGTTGCGACGCTGTCGTGTGGACTTGACTTCCGGCAACATGTCCTCAGGCGAAGAAACCTCAACTCCCATTTCCGAGCAACCAGCGACTCTGTTCGGCCAGCCGTATGCGTATGTACTGATTAAACATTACGCCAGTCTTGATTTCTCTCACACAAACGGCTTGGGCTCTTGTGCAAACGGCACAGAGTTGGCACTGGTTACACTCTGCAGGCTCATCCTGGTATCCCTTTTGTAGTTTGCGCTTCCTGGCCTATATTGTTTTTGAAGACGACCGCTGTTGCTAGAACTTCCAGAGTCCGTCCTGGTCTGAGCAGCAAACGGCCGCTGTGGGAGTCCCATGCCCTGCTTTTCGAACAGTGCTTCCTGGCTCATGGGCACCTGGCTCATCGGTGCCTGGTTCAGCACACTTTGCGGCTCCGGGCGCCGCTTTCGCTTCATGCAGCACCAGTTGCGGTCGTATGGATAGGCCCAGAAGAGATAGCAGACGGTCCATATGACGGCAATGGCGGGTATAAGTCCGAGGCAGATGATGAGGGCGATGGCGGTTCCTGTGATTGCTGGGCCGTCACTGCTGGACCCTCCCAGAAAGCGCGCTTCAAGGTGGTTGATTGCAGGCATAGTGGATGTACTTTATTCAACTGAGGTGGTCGATGTATTTTCTGGCGACAAGGAGGAGCGGTATGTTAATGCGAATGAACAGTCACGGTGGGGGTTATGGTCAGATTGCTATAGAAACGACTGGACGAAAATGGGTGCACAACGTTCGAATAGCGAGGGGTGAAAGGCGGTAATCACCTGTGAAAGTGGATAGATGTTGAAACACAAAGGTATTGCACTTGCCGACGAAGCGCTTTGTATGCGGGCCTCAAAGGAGCCCACTCTCGGAAACGTCATGGGGCATCGAGGGTGAACATGACGCATATAGCCATTATGCCGAGCCTTTTGACACTGTGGCGTTTACGTACTAACTATACGCTACTACGCGCGTGGTGTAGATCCAAGTCTTCCAAGTAGTAGTCCAGCTGCCGCCGAGCCCAACTCGTCATTCACTGAAGCCGTAGCAGCACTCTATCTCGGCACAGTGCATTCCTTTCGAATGAATGGCACAGCATTCACCTGCGTGCACGGAGTTTGCTGTTGTTACAGAAGTAGCGAGGATATAGGGGATCTCCCGTTGTCAGACATGACGCTACCCGCGTGCCGTACCAGCCGTAAGGCCAAAAACCTGAAGGATTGTGAGCGCCACAGGTGACCAGGTCATTGACGTATTGTGGCCTGTAGCGTAGCGTTAGCCCTGGTTTTCGCTACCGGACTCGGAAGACCCGGCGATGACAGCATGGATGCAGGGCCAGGCCCTGGCCAGAGAACATCAATCTGTGGGGAAAGGGTCTGCAGTGCGCGCACTCAGGCATCGAATCCCAGGCCAGCACAATCCGCTTCGACTCTCTTCCGAAGAGCCTCAAACCGTCGTTGCAGCCATAAAATGAAGGACCGTGTCTGCGTCGCGAACTTGTCAGACGGGTGTGGGGCGCCCGTTCCAGCAATAGGCGAAACGCCTTTGCTGCCCAGACGCCGACACACAGAGTCTGAGCCTGAGGCGAGGCGAGGCAAGGCAAGGCGAGGCTGAGTATGTGTACGTACCTCCATGCTTTGCAATCGTCTTGGATATACTGCGCGAGTCGCTGCGCCATATCTCGCGTCTGCCCGCTTCACCCAAGTCAACAACTTCGACCTTCTTGAAGCTCTCGTCATCTGGGCTCGCGTCCTTGGCGGCTCGCAGAGTTGATTGGAAAAGGGCTTCTGTTTCGTGCCATGGCATGGTCGAGTCGCTTTCGGCATGCACCAAGACCAGATTGAACCTTGAACAAGTTCCTAGGCTGTCGTCAGCGACGGAAAACTCGGCTCCAGCATCTCACGACGATGTGACTTGGCGAGACGACGTGCACCACAGGAAATTGGCTCTACTTACGCGCCATGGCCGCAAGTCGATCGTCGGTACGCCATGTACAGACCATTCTCTGCGCGAACCATTTCTGAAACCCAGGAAAAATCCTGATTGGCGCCAGCACTGGAACTACTCCGCCAATAGAGTACGATGAAAATGCATTGCCAGCATTGGTAAATGGTGCACACAGAATGAGACATGCGAACTCAATGCCCGAGTTAGCCGCGTAGCGGTGTGCGATACCAGACACCACCGCTGTTCCTAATGAATGACCAAGAAGCACGATTCGTTCGGGGGGTACGTGGCATTTGTTTAATACCCAGTCTATAACTGCTTCTGCATCGTCCAGTAGCCCAGATTCCGACGGCTCCCCCTTGGAGAGGCCGAAGCCGCGGTAGTCAAATGCCAGCACGAATATTTTGTCTGATGCACCGGCGGAGAATGATCGATACTCGATTGTTCGACGCTCCTGCGCCAAGGTTGCAGAGTTGCCGTGAAAGTAGATAAGCAGCCTTGCTTCTGGGTCTTTGCATAGTGATTTCCAAGCTACTGTATCCTCTATTTTGCTGCCGGTCTTTTCTTCAGTGAAGGCATTTTCGTTCTTCGCATAAACACCGAGTGGTGCAACAAGCCATGCAAACAGTTCATGTTTGTCTTTTGTTGCAATGCGAAAGGGTACAACCTGGTTTTCTGCGTCCGTGAGTATGTACCTTGCTGCTTAGCGCTGGCGTGGGCATGTACGACATACTGAGAAATCCGGTTCTTTCGGGCTCAGTCAGCCATTTTCCAGGAAAAAAGGTGATGTTGTGGAGGTACAGCATTTCTATCTCTGTCAGCCTGAATCAGCTTTAGCTAGTGTCTCGTGAATCCTGACGTTTCTGCACCCATGGCAAGCAGCAAAGCAACGTGGCCGGTATCCATAATAGGCTGACAAAGGATAATACTGTTCCAACAGAATCGGTGATGCCCATGTCGGAGTTGTTTGTGGATGCGAGCGTAGGAGAGAAACGGATGAGGATATGGGCGGGAGCCTAGCGCGTGGCTTCCACAGACCCTTTGTGGCTTCCATTTCTAGATGTCAAGCCACAACAGCCATCAGTCTATAGACTTGCCACAACCTTCATTATCGCCAAAATTTCTGAATAAACGGAGATGGTAGTATGGGCGTCGGGAATGGTATTAGTGTATTTTACTGATAGATACATGATAAGTAGGCTGATACTGTACGTTATTCATAATTCAGTTGTAGGTTAACAAACCGCAAAAATAACATAAATTATTCACCCGCTACAAAGAGATAGGAATAATGTCAACTAACAATCCGCTCTCAATTTTAACCAAAAACTTGTAAAAAGACCACCTGTGTACTGTCCTCTTACCTACGAAATTCCAAACCTGCAACTCATTATTTACTATAAAGATCATCATTCAAACCGGATCCCTTATCCCCCTTCTTTCGCCACTCAACCATCTCATACTGCTCCACCGGTTCCTCGCCATGAAACTCAGGATAAAGCGACGGATGGCGCGCAACGTTAAGCTGCTGATCTGCCAGATTAACGATGCTTGCCGCGCGATGGATGATACTATCCCTAGCCGTCCCGCGCTTCATAATCATCTCCGCTCGCTTGTACTCTTCTGATTGCAGGGCATTTTGTGCATGCACGATTTCCCGGTTCCCTTTAGTGGTGTAGCGCTTGGGTTCGCCAGCTGGGAGCTCGGCGAAGATGCGTGATTCACGGCCGTTGGCGCGCTGGATGCCCGTAGGAGGAGAATAGAAGGAGGAGCCTGAGAAACGGCATGTGGCAGGTACAGAGAGGTAGTTGTTAGGTTCGTACTCTACCCTCGGCGCTTCTGGGGAAACGTGGGGTGAATAGTCGGGGTTGTAGTGAACTGTGTCACCCTCAACGACAGTGAAGGGGCGGTTAGCTGCAGTCTCGACATACGGGTTTTGCACCGTATCCGACGGCTTCTTATCGCGCAAGACCTTGCCCTTTACCTCTTCCCAGGTCGATGGCTTCTTGCTCGCCTTAGGCTCAGCGACACACACATGATCGGTCTCATGTGCGCCACCCAGTTCGACATCCAACTCGGAGGGAGCATTCCTGTGCGAGGACAACCTATTGTGTGCCTCGCGCTCCTTGACCATTTCTGGAGTAATAGGCTTCATCTTACCAGACTCCCACTTCTCAAGCTGCTTCTGCATTCTACGACAATTGGGGCATTTGCCCTTGCTGCGTAGACAGAGCATGGCGGCAAGCATCACGATTAGTAGGACTGCTAGCAGAATGATGAATGCTAAAACCGCATAAGCAAAGGTATCGTCGGTCTTCAGCACACTCGAGGCGGCCTCGGGTGCAGCAGTTGAGACGGGTTGAATAGTAGTTGCAGAAGAGATCGATGGGGTTGTCTGCAAGGCTGTAGATTCTGACGAAAGAGTATCAGTTGAAGGGCTGTCAGTCATTGTTGGTGTGGTAGATGTTGGCAAAGGAGTGATCTTTGAAGACATATCTGCCATTATTGAGCTTGTAGGTGTTGGCAAAAGTGCGATCGCTGAAGAGCTATCAGTCGTCATCGATGCTGCATTTGTCGTTGAAGCGGCGGCATACGTGTTTGTGGTCTCAGGAGCATCCGTTGCATATACAGTGGTGTATTCGGTGACTACAACTGTGCTGTAAGCTGGATACGAAAATCCCTGCATTGCTGCCTTGATCTTATGAAGTGATTTCGAGAATGTGATGATGGTTTTCCTATTCCTAAAAGTTGTTGGATGCTGTTTTGCCTTGGTTTTTCAAAGTTAATGTTGGCTTGTGGAATTATTGTGGCGAAATTATAAGTGAAGCCAGTCACAATCACTGTTGAATGTATCGTAGATAGACGCTTGGCTTTGTGAGTACACCATATATGGAGCCAATGTGTAAAGGCACACCCCCAGTTCATGGATTGACCTTGATCAAAGAATGCTATGTATACACACAATGTGTCTCAGACACTCTGTCATATGGACAGACTTAGTGGATGATCTTAAACAATTTATTTGATAGGACTTTGGAAGAGCCAATCATTGTGTTCCAGCAGATTTTCCATCGTCTTCATAGACTGTAAGAAAAGAAGCCATCACCAGCTATGGTTTTCAAATAGCAAGAGATCCAATCTATGCTCTTAATTCACGACCTACATTGAATTGTCATCCCTCAAGCAATATTGCCGTGTGTCTGCTCCATGTGTTTGTAGGTATCTTGCCCTCTATCGAACGTCTTCATACAGAACCAGCAAATGTGGGTCCGGCACGATATGCACTCCATGTGATTGCAACCAAACGCTTTCTCAATCGGCACCCCGCACTTGGGGCAGTCTCGCACATCATTATTCTTTTTCCACTGAGCGAGTTCTTCATCTCCCTCCAAAGCAGCTTTGATCAGGGCTTTGTTGGCTTCACATGTGATCCCATCGTGGGGGTTGTGATGGCAGCTCGTGCAGATCGAGCTAAGGCAGCCGTCGCAGTCAAAGATTCGAGGGTTTGTAGTCTTTGAGATTCTGTAGAAGCGGTCACAGTCTGGTGTAGAGCAGTATTGGAATTTGGTTGTTCGACTGCGAAGATATGAGGTCAGGGATGTCTGAAGAAGATTATCGTATTCAGTCCTAGAAAGAACTTTCTTCACATCATCAAGAGTTATTGGAGATCCGCAGACAGCGCCCTCCCCAAGACATTTTAGCGGGAAAGAATCGGCAGACGTGCACTGCGACACGAGGCAGGAACTGCAATAGAAGTGATCGCATGATGTCTTGATAGGTTCTTCCGGTGGGGTGAAGCAGACCGGGCACAATAGCTCGGGGGAGTCAACGCTGATGGAGAGCCCAGAGATTTGTGTTTCCAACGAAGGAGATGCAGACCATGTGAGGATTTCCTGTATCTGGGCCACATCTTTTGTGGAACCTTCGACGATGATTCGCTTCGGATTGCTGATGATATCTAGCTTCACTTTGTCCTTTCCAAGAGCAGCGACAATTTGTCGAAATCCCCCTTTGAGGGCAAAAGCCAGAGCCTCGGGATCAAGAATGACAGTGTGGGAATGTTCCTTGAGCTCTGCACATTTTGCCACCAGAGCGCGTTTGACTTGTTCGATACCCGTGTCGTCTCCGTATAGTCGAAGAACCGATCGACGCAGATCCTGGTGTATGAAAACACCATTTGCGGCTCCAAGATCGTCCAGAAAGCTCTTTGATGAAGGTCTAAAATATGACGGTTCTGTGATCGGGCCATTTCCGTCGGCGACGATCTGGCCCGCAAGGAGCTTCTCCACGGCCGACTTGGCCTTAGCGACTGGTTCTCTGGACTGACCAAAAATGCGGATTTGGGTATATTGTTTGCCTGGACCTTCGTAGCTTTTGATCTGAACGTAATCCGTTTGCCATGTCTGGTCAACAAGAGAATTGAGCCGTGGTTGAATGGCTGCTAGGATTCGAGAAGAGACCGACAATTTAATGGACACAAGAGGAGTGACTTGCATCTTATCGTTCGAGCTTGTATCGAGGCGGGTTCCGTGCATCTTCTTGACTGCATTACGGGCTGCCTCTGTTTCGCTGAACTTGGCGATAATTTTCGTTCTACTTCCCCCCTTTTGGGAACTGGGGGTACACTCTCCTAAGAGGGTACCGTGACATCGAAGTTCCATGAGGGCTTTTTCCTCTAGCTGTTTTGCAGTCAATATGTGAGATTTAGGCCCCCAAGTCACGTTAAGGGGCTGTGGAGAAGGAAGAAAGCGCCGAAGTCCAGCTTCATTCGTGTTCACATCAAGATTACCCACTTGTAAGGACCGGACTGGTTGGTACATGACATCGAGCTTCCTTCCCATGAGTTGGTTTGAGTCCAAGTCTTTGATGCGTTTGAGTGCCTGCTTCGCTTTCCAATCCGTCTCATATTGGAGATACGCCACCTTGGAAGGATTGAACCATGAACATGTAACACTAGTAAGCTGGAGTCGATTCATACCGGATTCTGTCTCCCCTCCAAGTTGCATCTTCGACATGTGAACTTCCGCATCTCTGAGGCGAATAGGGCTATCCCCAAGGCACTGGAGAAGATTGTTGGCAAAGTCTGGATCACGGACTTTAATAACAGCTGTCTTGTGGAGCTTTTCCGGAATGTATTTGAAGCGAACACAATCGGGAGTTGCTTGTGCAAAGCCCATGCTACTCAAGTGGTCTACTACATCTTGAACGGATGTGTGTTGAGATAGATCGGATGTGGACACGGCGGAGAAGTCCGAAATCAAAGAGACTGAGGAAACAGAGGCCCCATCAGCAAAAACCACGTTAGCCCCTCCAATGTTCCTTGGTATTTTGATTTCATCATGCTCACTGAGGGAGCTATTGGAGTAGGCCCAAGTGGATGCAGCAAGGCCAATATCCGTGATGGGCCTGTGGTCCGACAGCGTCTTCGACATAGCACGATTGCCTTGAATGTCGTGACTGTAGGGACATAGCTCTCCCGTTTTGCAGATACCTCTTTGAAAGTATATGCACGGTATGCTTGACCTACTGTCCCTGGATGTGGGAAGGAAGGCTGTGGCTGTAGATGTAGCCAGGTTTGAATGCTCAAAGGTACAGGAGTTTCCCTTGGTACATGTACCTTGGAGAAAGAACCTGCAAGGTATCTTCGTTTTTGGAACGAAGCCGCCCGAGTGCGAGCGACTGATAAGTTTCGCTTTGCGTTCCGGAGAGAGATGAGTAGGTGCCGTATCAGGATGTTGGAATCTACACTGCTCCCCGTTCAAGCAGCGTCCAGCGACAAAGAAGTGGCATATTTTGTTCTCCATCATGGAGAAGTGGTGGTGAGGTGGGGTTCGAGATCAGGCTCCAGCCTTGTTTTGCTCAAAGAGCGAACGTGCTGCCGTGTAACGTCAAATAGGCCAATTGAACAATGTGGCGCAGGGCTAATGATTCACCACGCCGCAACCGGGTGAACCCCGAATGAAAAGAACCATGTGACCGTATCGCGTATTTTTGACAGCAGCCACAAGTGCCCAACCGTATGCTTAACTCCCTGGTCTTCGCAGTTTAAATTAAACTGCAATGATTTTGCTGGATGTGTAGCCGGCAGCTCAGAACCACCAGGACCGATCAGCGTGGCGGCGTTGCATGAATCATCTTCATAAAACTGTCACAAGGCTAATGACGACCTATCATTGTGATGTTGAGGATCTAATAGTATGATGCTGCTTGCTGTAATTTTTATAATAGTATAATGCTCGTAAAGTAGTGTATGGTAAGTGAAATGGCATGTACATAGTACTGATAACATGATATTATTTGGCATGAGTTCCGTAACGATTTCAACTTGCGGTCAAAAAACACTTGGATAGCAGCAAGATTTTTTACCCCCCACACTGGACGTGCATCAGCTTGTTCGAAGTGACTGCAAACTAGTCTTACCGTGAGATGAATGAGTGAGGTTGCTAGATCGCAACTGAAAGCAATGTCCGTTGATGCATAATACCTTGCTGCACACGCGATACACAATTTAGGCGCCGTTCATACCATACTGAGAAAAATCTGTGTACTATCTTCATTTCTGCTACTGATTAGACTTTCCGGAAAATCTTTCGCTAACTTATATTTTGCTAGAACACGCTTTACCTTTTGTTTCTTTTGGTAGCTAATTTATCTAGAAATCAGGCTGGTTTGATTCGCACTTCAAACATGAGGTGGGTTTTTCAAGATGATCGTGATATCATCATTTTCGGCCGCTGTGCAACATTTTGTTCTCTGGTATTAAGTGATTGTGATAGAACAATTGCAAGCCCCGAAACGTCGCGGTTGAGACTTCGTCAGAGAACGGTTAAATATGTCAACATTTCCTCCAATGTAAGGCCAAGCAGTACAAAACTGCTATATGCTAGTCTTATGCAAATTCGTTACCAGAGAAGGTACTGCTCATCTTCGTGACATGATAATCTATGGAGCTTTCCATCTCACACTCTCTCCTTCCTCATGCCGTGCTCTCGCACCTTCTCGACTAGCCCTCCGCTCTTCCCTTGACCTAACGTCATTTGATTACTGCTGTCGCCTAAGCAGCGACTTAAAGGCATTGCTCCCTCGCCGCATCTCAACTGTTCTTTCATACCTCGACAACACCCATACAACCAGCCTATAAATCCACAACGCATATCTTGGCTTAAGCAGCACAACCACATGTCATCCTGTCAACTACATACCTACGGGAAGCCACGAACAATTTGTTTCAACTGTGAAGCGCGATCCCATGGGCACGCATAACATTCTGTAAGTATTTGATATATGTGTTCCGAGATTGGAGATCCAAGCTAATATCAGAAGCTCGAAGATCTGCATCGTTCATCGCGTTGTTACTAGCATTACTATCTCGACTAGCACTCCAGAGCTTATCTCTCATCATTCTTCGCATATTTTCATAATATCACTACTCAACAAATTTACCAACACCGGCCTTGATGCGATGCCAAAACCATTCACTATATCTAGCGACTCCAATCCACCCCCTTACGAGCAACCCAAAAGTGAACGTGTAAGCCTACCATCAACACCTCAATACACCAAAGCATCCGTCATGACCATGTGGCCCTCCCACGACCTGCCCAAGGAGGGAACCAAGGGAAATCGGTTCAACCGTGAAGTGCAGCGTTTTTCTGTACGGTTAGACCTTTGTGAGTACTCAACACATGTTCTAATACAGCAGATCAGAGCTAAAATTGAAAACTATAGGCCTTAAGTTATTGGCTTTCGTTATCACTCTTGTCGCCCTCATCTTATCGCATAGGCCCCGAAATACAAGCATGGCAGAATGTTCCACCAGTTCCACGGCTAGCATACACGAGCTGCGCGAGCACTATTTAAACATGCAGGGCATCTATAATGAGCCTCTTGAGCTCAACAACTATGTGAGAGCTATCAGAGCTATCGTTGAAAAGGACCACTTGGAAATCGAACGCATCGACAAGAGGCTTGATAATTTCACTACCTTCAGGTCTCATGGCGTTCTCGATCATCCGTTGAGCGCCTGGATATACATGAGCAATCAGCCAACATCATCAGAGGAGGGTCCGAAGCTAACAAGAAGTTACTTTTCATAGTGTTGTTCATCGGGGAAGTTTGTTATCGAAGGCAGGTGACCTAGTGATAAGGTACAACGCATCGAGGGATTTTTTTTAGTAGTAGTCAGCCCGGCTGTTCAGCAGCTCCTCCAAATCCATCCTCATACTACTACTGTTTTGACTACCTGTCTGTTCCTACTGTTTTTCTTGGTTCCGGTATTTCACAGTAGTACCGCTTACGAGCTGCTAGGACTATCTTACAATAATCGTTTGACCAACTTGATCTCTCCCTGAGTTAAGCATTATTACGTTAAGCATGCATCAGACGATTGACCTCACTGCTCTTGGTAGCAATTCAAAATGCTTCCTGTAAGATTCGCGGAACGCTGCATACACACACGAGGCGTGCCACTACCCCAAGCACCGCCATTGCACTAGACCTGATTTGGAAAGTAGCATGGCCAAGACGTAGGGCCCCAGCAGTAGCGTCGGGGTAGTGGCTTTAATAAAATGCAGTAATATTACTGCATTCGGAAGAGAATCTGCAGAAAAAAAGACACAGCCTTGATGCGGAGCAGGGTTGAACATAGTGGCTTGCTTGTTGCAATGCACTTGCTATTCTGGTGTATAGTAGGGGCCAAAATGCAGCCTATTGCATCAGTCGGCGACCATACAGTTGGCTTCCTTGAAAAGGGTAGACATGTATAAGAAGATGAAGTAATTTCTTGCTATATTCTAACATCTACCATCATACGATCTTTCGCACTTTTGAGAGACTAGACACATCATGAAAGCGTTCATACGGTATGCAACAGCAATTGCTACCATCTTGCCGTTGAGCCTCGGCTCCCCTTTGAATGCAAGAGGGAATACCAGCATGGTTTATGATTTCTCCGAAGTAGGTCTCATCTGCTAGTGTCAAAATCGATGGAGACTTACACATACACAGTTGACTGCAAGCCCATCGCTTGCTTGGTCCCCATGTTATAACAACTTGTATGAGCATTCCAATCTTTCGAGAAGAACAAAGACCAATTGACCTTGCCAGTACTTGTGCCCTGCTAGAAGTACCACGCGACTACGCCAACAAAACCGCCGGCATCCTCAATATCGCCATCATCAAGAAACCCGGCCCAACACCCGATGCACAAGAAGTCCTCGTCAACCCCGGCGGCCCCGGCGGCTCATCCGTCAGCATGATCCTCTCGGGCTCCGCCTTAATCGAAGCCAAAATCGGGACCGACTACTCCCTCGTAGGCATCGACCCCCGCGGCATAAACAACAGCGAACCATCCAGCGACTGTTTCCCGGGCTACTCCTTCCAAACCCGCAACGCCATCCTCGAGGAACCCCTAGGCCTCGCAGACATAACCTCTGAAAAAGCACTAAAAACCCACCACCAATCTCTCCTCGGCTACGGAAAATGGTGCTCAGACATGTACAGCGTGAACGGCACCGCACGCTACGCCAGCACCGTCGCCACAGCACAAGACATGCTACACTACATCCAGCTCCGCGCCACCGATACCGGAAAAGCACCCGAAGACGCCAAACTCTGGTACTACGGTATAAGCTACGGCTCCATCCTGGGCCCCACCTTCGCCAGTCTCTATCCCTCACGCGTGGGCAGGATGATTATAGACGGCGTGCTCGACCTGGCCGACTACTACAACGGCGGCTGGGAAACCGCCACAGACGACAGCGACAAAGCCGCGGGCTACTTCTTCCAACAATGTTTCGACGCAGGCCCCGCACTCTGCTTGTTCCACCAAAACGCCTCGTCTGCCCGCGTTATCCAAGATCGCTACGAAGCGCTGCTTGAAGAGCTCAAGCAAAACCCTTTTGCGGTCGCCCAGGCGATTCCGGATGCGAGGAATCCGTTGACAGTGCCTGGTGCGCTGGCGCCGACGCCGTATGTGTTGCAGTGGACGGATATCACGAGTCAGGTTTTTGCTTCGCTGTATTATCTCAATCCGGCGTTTGTGGTGTTGATGGATTACTGGCTTCTTGCTTTGCAGAATCGCGATGTAGCGGTTTTGTCTAGTATTACGCTTAAGGCGCAGATTAATAGTTTTAGTCCGACTTACGATGAGCGCATGGGACGGGCGCTAGTTGTGTGTTTGGATTCGGATGGGCGGTCGAATTACACGGAGTTTGAAGCGTATAAGGGGTTTGTGGAGGGGATGCATGAGAAGAGTAGGTATGGTGGGTTGCATATTGCCGCGCTGAGTGGACCGATTTGCAGCCAGATGCAGGTGAGGGCGCCTGAGAGTCAGCGGTTTGATGGGGTGCCGAAGGTGAATGGGACGTATACGCCTATTTTGTTTGTATCGTCAGTTGCGGATCCTGTTACGCCTTTATCCGCGGCGAGGAAGATGAACGGAGAGTTTCCTGGTTCGGGTTTACTGGTCTTTGATAACGTCGGTGTAAGTTCTCCCTTCACTCAAGATTTCGTTTTTGGGGATACTGACTGACTGGTTTTCACAGCATACTTCACACTTCCAGTCGACCAAGTGTGTTTCCGAGCACGAAAAGCGATATATGCGTGACGGAACCCTTCCGCCTGCGAACACGGTATGCGAGGTTGAAGAGCCCAATCCGTGGATCGCTCTTGCAAAGCTATCCAATGCCACTGGAACTACGCCGTTATGAACTTAGTACCATATCCATAATGAGAGTGCTCCTATCATTACTCCCGATTAATCAAAAGGACACGATATGGTCGGATCCAAGAGATAGACAACTTGCATGCAACGAGCAGGATTTAGATAGAGTTGTATACAGGGATAATACATGACCATGTTCCTTGACACATGTCCCAACATCACCCACCTTACCTTTCGGTCTTAATTGATCCTATGTGCTCACATATTCCACAATCAATGCCATATTGACTGCAGGAATAAAGACAAGTTCCTCAACCCAGGCGACCCTTGCCGCCTCCATACTTTCCTTCTGGTCCCTCGAGATGAGCATCCAACACGGCCGAAGTACCGCTCAACACCGACTTGATAGCTTCCGGGAGAAGCTTGCCCAGCTCGTCAGCTGTGCTCGCGTGCGCAGCCCATATCTCGCCACCACTTGCCGCCTTGGCGATGCCAGAGTAATCAGGTGTGGGCGCAAAGCTGATGTTGAGCTCTTCATTGCTGACTTTGGAGCCTTCGCCGTCAGGGTGGACGAGCAGCATGGAACGGCGTGGGGCGTTCCAGCCCTTGTTATTGAGCACAATGGTGAGAACGGGAATCTTGTAGCGCTGGGAGATCCAGTAGACGGAACCAGGCACAGAGAAGAGATATGTGCCGTCGCCAACAATTTGGCATACAAATTGCTTCTTGCCTTCATAGTCGGTCGCAAGCTTGATACCCAGGGCACCGCCACCAGACCATCCAAGACCTCCGCCGCCACAGTTTATCCATGATCCGGGCAACGTCGCTTGTATCTGGTCCGCGACAAAGCCGGTTTGAGTGACGGCTTCGATGGCCCAAATTGTATCTTCTGGGCATTGCTTCTTCAGTTGGGAGCAAAGGTAAGATGTGCCATAATGGCCCTTGTCATCAACCTTGGCTTCGCTAGCGATGCCTTGGAGTTTCTTCTTGTATGACTCTTGCAAGGCCGACCATCGCTGATCAAAGAGCTGACTGGTGAGCTGTTCTTTGAAAGCAGACTCTAGGTGCTCGTTCAGCTGGTTCAGAGACGTGTACGAATCGGCTTGGTAGCGTTGAACGGCGTTGAGATAAAAGACAGGCATCTGCTGCTTGAGCGGATCAACGTCGACATGAAATATTTTCGCGTCTTCTTTAGGATGACACTGTGTGTTAATCCATGGTACATCACAGTCGAGTACTAGAATGACATCGGCTGTTTTGATGGCCGGGTCATTACCGTAGCGCAGACCCAGCCACGCCGGGTGGTTTGCTGGGAAACACATGTCACTGCCTCCTGTATCCAACACGCGGATGCCTTTGATATTGTCTGCTAGTCGGACGAGCTCCTTCACTGCTTCGTGATTTCTGCCAGAGTAGCCAGTCACAATAAGAGGTTCCTGGGCCTTAACCAGAGCTTCGGCGATTGCTTTGACGCCTTTGGGAGGAAGTGCAGCTGGCTCGACGGGTGCCCAGTAGTCCTTTTTCAGCTTGTATGGGGTCAGATCCTCCTCCATAGGCTCGCGCGCGCCGTACAGATACACCGGCCCTTTTGGATCGCTCATGGCAAAGGACAAGGCGCGGTTGACCATTTGCTATGCAGTTGTTAGCGTTTCCGCATTCCATGTCGCAGTCTAGCACACCTTGACATTCTTTCCAGACTTTATCTCGCCCGTATATCTGCAGTATTGCTCCACAATCTGTTTCTGGTCTGGCACATCCTGTATCCAATGAATATACTCGGTCCTGCTCCCACGCATCTCACCCTCAATGGTAAATGGGGACAGGCCGGCAAAGATGAGAACAGGTGCGCGTCCACACGAAGCATTATGCACGGCAGCTCCAAGACCTTGTGTTCCAACATCGACATGGACAATGACACATTGGGGCTTGCCCGTCAACCTCGCATATCCATCGGCCATGGACAGAGCAACCATCTAACCATATTAGCCATTGTGTAACCTTGGCTGCATGTAGGCTACTTACCTCATTTGGGCACGTGATAATTTTGGGGAATTGGCCCTTGGCCTCATTCTGGCCTTTGACAATGGCCTCGATAATCGAAGGATGGTCGGATCCGAGGTTGACAAAGACATGACTAACGCCATACTCCCAAAGGGCCTCAAAAAAGGCAAAAGACGCAGTGTATCTAGGCAAGGTTAGAGAGCGTTTTATGCAGCACCGAGATAGTCTATACTTACACCATGGTGTCTGATAATTTTCTGGAGAAAGTTGGAGGAGGGGCATTGTATCCCCGCGACGGCCATGTTAAACAACGGCTGGTTGCCCCACAAGCGCGGGGAAGCTGCGATCGCGGCAACGGTTGTCGGATGACATCTGTTGTCGGCCCGGGGATTTTTCGTCAAAAGTTGATACTGTTCTAACCTCTTATCATCAACAAGATGCTGCATGTGTGAACCAGAAGGGCTATCTTCACCCCGAGCGCACCTTACTTGCGCCGAGCGTTAGTACTACGTACGCTGTATGTACTATCCGTGCTGCGGGGCGGCGCGCTTCCGCTCTTCGGAACACCCCCTTTGATGGTCACCATACTCACAGGACTACGACACTACGAATGCCGATCAAAGACGCGTAATACCGTCTCAGAGATTTCTAGTCTTTCGCGTTTCGTAACATGGCTGAGTATGGTTCTGCGCGAGTGTCATGTTGCACAATTGACCAAACGAAACCCGTTTCAAACTCTAGTATTTGTGTGCTATCACGGTAAGCCTGTAAAAGCTCAAAACACCCATTGCTTATTTCTCTTTACTCAGTTTTTCGATTTCCTCCAAAAGTCACAATGTTCGTCAAATCGACCTCTGTCGCTGTCTTTTTTCCATTCTCCGCGCTTGCCTATAGTGCAACATGCTCGAACCACCACGCACCCAACCATCTTCTACGTCACATCTGCAGTGGGCCTCCAGACGTCTATGTAGTCGAGCCCGTCAATGGAAAAGGCTTGGGTGTCTTTGCCATGCGCGATCTTGACATCGGTGACATTATCATGCGCGAATCGCCCGTCATCAGGATCAGTCGGTCCAAACTCACAAAGGGAGGCGAGAATCCCATGGCTGCTGTTGCAAAACTCGTCCACGACGAATTCAAAACGCTTTCGACCAGCGCACAAGAGCAGGTCTTGGCACTGTCTTATTATGCCAACGGTACGGTGAACACGCAGTTAGAGACAGTGGGGACCATATTCCGCACGAATGCGTACAATACCGGCGACAAATTCAGTCTGTTTCCTAGAATCGCTCGCATCAACCACTCGTGTCGACCAAACACAAGTTACTACTGGAGCGAGAAGCTCAATAAGCACATCGTCTTTGCCAGCCGGAAGATCAAGGCTGGAGAAGAGTTCTCCGTCTCTTACATTTCGCTTTTGCTTGCTCAAGAGGACCGACAGAAGCTGCTTGATCAATATGGCTTCAAATGCCAGTGCGAAGCATGTGCTCAGAAACGCGCAGCCAGTGAGGCCAGCGATAACCGTCGCGTCACTATCAAAAACGCTTTTGATAAATTTGATAGTCAGCTATTCCAAGATCCTCCAAAGACCAAGGCCGAAGTGGAATATGCCCGCAAGAGTGCTGAAGTGAGCGTTCAGCTTGCCCAGCTTGTACAAGCAGAGGGCCTTGCCGACTACTATGCGAGAGCTTACCGGATCGCCGCCCTCAGCTTTGCCAAATTGGAGAACTGGCAATCTGCCACGGATTGGGCAAACCAGGCGTATAAACTACGGCATATGGAGGATCCAGAGTCACCGTATACGATAGAAATGTACGAGCTGACGTCCATGTACATTTCGAAATGGCAGACCCAGCTCACGGGCCGGTCCTGAACTGGATGTATTTTATTAGTCCATCATTCTATAAACGAATTGGAATAGCATACACCCTCGATCCCGCTACCGAGTGGCGAACTAGGCGTCCCAGACCTGCGGCTCGCACATGCGGCCCTGTTCACCCGACATGCCGCTAATTAGCCTAATCCGGAACCACGCCGCCGCACCTCTATACCCACCACGTCTCTTCATCTCTCGGCATACCAAATCCATTGGAACCTCCCCTTCTCTTCTCAAAACTCCCATTCAACACACAATCAAAGCAATAATGGCGACTCAAAGATTAATCGACACCACCTCCCGCGTGCGCAAGAAGCCCATGCGCATCCTCGTGCTGGGCATGTGCCGCACCGGCACAACAACCATCACTCTCGCCCTCCGCAAATTAGGTTTCACCCCCCACCAAATGCGCAACGTGCTGTCCAACCCCTCGGACCTCGCCCTCTGGCAAGAAGCAATAAACCTCACCTTACTCCCCCCTTCAGATCGGCCTGCCCACCAACGCAACCAAGCACCATACGGCAAACAAGACTTTGACAAACTCCTCGCAGACTATGATGTCGTAGCCGACCTCCCAGGCTGCCTCTTCGCAAAAGACCTAATAGAAGCATATCCCGACGCCAAAGTCATCTTAACTCTCCGCAACTATGCAGACTGGGAAGATAGCATGCGGGAAAGTATCTGGTGCCTGGATACATGGCGCTTATTCACTTTCTGTCGCCAATTCAATCTTACCCAACTTGCGCCCCTGATGCAGCTCGTGCATTCGGCGTTTAAAGTGCATAGTGCGAATCAGTATGGCGGGCCCGCTTCAAAAGCTGCCTACGAAAAACATTATGAGGAAGTGAGGAGTGCGGTTCCTAAAGAGCGGCTGCTGGAGCTTGATATGGATGGGGAGGTGGGATGGGAGGCTTTGTGTGGGTTTTTGGGGTCGGAGGCGCCGAAGGAGGGGTTTCCGGTTGTGCAGGAGGAAAAGGCTATGCGGAAGGGGTTAGAGAGTGCGTGGTGGGGTATGGTGCAGTATTTTGTGCTGCTGATTTTGTTGCCGGGATCGGTAATCGTTGGGTCGTACTTTTTGTTTGTGTACGCGGATGTGCTGAGGGAATATAGAGATATGCTACTTTTGATGGTGAAGAAGTACATGGATACTGGGGAGTGGTAGTTTGATTACCCTTTTTTCGCAAGAAAATCTAATGATATTGTCTATTTGCATATCCAGTCATGATGATTCGAAGCTAAGCCTTCCATCGGAGTAGCGTAAACGAATGCTTTCCAAATGTAAACTTGCCCTTTCCATCCCAACTACTCTCCTTAATCCCCACTTTCTGCTCCCCATTCGTATTCACAACTCCAATGTTCTCCCCGGTAACTGTATGAACCTCTACCTTGTCCGCCTTTAGCCCAGGGATATCGACTTCGAAGTCCCGTGTCTCGTGTATATTCGTAACAGCAAGGTTAACGAACCCATCATCACTAAGCACAGCACTGCAGTCCAAATACGGTGTCTCAATGGTACCGCGGATCCACTTAGGATTCGTGCGGCCAGTGTACTCGGGTGTACGCACATTAAGGGCGATAGTGTGACCACGCATGTACTTTGAGAAAAGGAGAAGGGGCCACCAAGTTGTTTGCTTGACAAGACCCTCCTTGGTAGTCATGAGCGGAGAGATAACGTTGACGCTCTGTGCCACAGTAGCCATGCCAACATCTTTTGCCTGACGGATGAATCCGTTGAGGAAGTTCGCTACGGCCAGAGCGTCGGAGAGGGTGTACTTCTCTTCTGCACCCTGTTCACCGGGGGCACGCACGGGGTCCCAGACGTTCCATTCGTCGAAGCAGATGGTTTGACGGGGCACGGTTTCCGGTACGTTGTTTTCAATGCGGGCGAGGTCGATAAGACTGGATGCCATTTGGATTGCTCGCTCGGCTGCGCGGGGGGCTGTGGCGTTGGGGAGGTGCTCCTTGTCTGCAGTGTAGATGTGGATTGAGTGCATGTCAATCAGGCTCTTGGTCATGTCGCCACTGAGGCCGTGAACATCCAACTTGACGCATTGGTTTAGCACATAGTAGTCCCAAGATGAGTAGCCAGTCTCTCCACACAAGATGGTGGTGATGGTTGGGTCGAGAAGTTTCAATGCCTTGGCCCATTGGTAAGCCTTCTTAGCGTAGTCTTCTTTGGTCATCTGCTCCACTTGCCATGGGCCCCAGCACTCGTTTCCGAGAGCCCAGTACTTGACCTATCACTAAAGTTAGCAGACTGCTAATGCAAGCCACGACTCGCACCGTCTGGAGCTAACGCACGTTGTAAGGCTTTTCGCGGCCATTCTTGCGTCGAAGGTTGGCGTAGTATGTATCTCGGTCCGAGTTACAGTATTCAAGCCATCCAAGAGCTGTTGAAATCAGCCAGGTGTGATAGTAGATCCACTTTATTGCATACCTTCGTCCAAAGTGCCAGTGCCAAAGTTCAAGCAAAGATAAGGCTCTGTGCCGACCTCTTCGCACCATTGCATGAACTCATCAGTTCCGAAGGTGTTGGGCTCGATGCCGATCCATGCAAGCTCAGGCCTGGCGCCGCATTAGTCCCAATATTCTCTCTGGGGTTCACTCTCCCGAAATGCTGGGTGGTAGATCTCCACAGGGTAATGGACCCTGTAAGCGGACCTGAAACAACCAAATGGTCTTTTGTTGACACATGGAAGATTTTGTTGACTGTAGGATTGCCGACCGAGGCTCAGGCAAGACACTAGTGAATACGATGATGGTCTTACCTCTTAGGCCTATTCTCTTTTGGTCCAACGCCATCAAGCCAATGATACGTTGCAACAAAGTTTCCACCTGGGTAACGCACCACAGGCACTTTGAGTTCTTTGAAAGCCTCAATGACGTCTTTGCGGAAACCTCGCTCGTCTGAGAGAGGGTTGCCGGGATCGTAAATGCCGCCGTATATGCATCGGCCCATGTGCCTGGTGCGTGGCTTGTTAGCCGAGGGAAAAACAAAGAAATGCATATTTCGAAAACCCCAAGCCGATAGGGCGCCATTGTCAAGCTTACTCGGTAAATCCACCATAAAGGTTGTCATTGATCTTAGCGACCTTGTGGGAGGGGTTGATGGAGATGGAGGGGGTTTCGCTCTCTTCGATTCTGGTAAAGGACGCCATGATGGATAAAGCCGGCAATTGTCCTAGAGGTGATGACAGGAGCAAAGAAGACGAAGTCCAAGTTTTCAATTGCAAGTTGATAGTGGTACGACCTGCTCGAGGTCATAGAAAGCTTCATGGCGTAGCATGTGGTTTCCAACTAGGCGCGGGCTCTAGTACAAAGCCAGCTGGCGCCTCCGGCACAAAATGGCATGCTCATTCGTGGAATTTAGGCTGCACGCATCGTCGCATCACACGTCTGGCACACGCTGCACTTGGGCCGTTTGAAGTAAACCACCCGTGCTTAGGTTCGGGCAGCCAAGACATATCCCACCAGTGGTGGAATGATGTATCTCCCAATTCAGGCCTCCGAGTGCAGATGATTACCTATCTGGACTGGCGCCGAATGTATACATCGGTTTGATTTGAACCGAGCCTCGGTCATAGCACCGACAACCGCTGTGACAGGGATCAGCACGCGGGTTGCGGAGGTAATAAACGCGGAGTCGAGTCAATACCCCCGCCATTTGTGGAGATGGTGGAGTATAGTCGCTTGCATGCGTTCCCCAGACTTGGACAGCCATGGGGTGATACCAGCCTGGCAGAAGCACGGCAATGTGCCCAGTATAAAGAGCCAGGGAGACTGCGCGTTGGCCTGACTTACCCACCGCTCTCAACCTTCCTGCAGTCCTCTCAACCCCAGCTGCAGTCGCCATGGCGCTCCCTCCCAAAGTGTACCAGTTCCTTGTGGGCCTGTTTGCATCGCTTGGTTCGTTGCTGTACGGTTACGATCTTGGTGTCATTGCCCAAGTCATTTCTTCACCAGCCTTCAATGCAGAGTTCAACCCCACAGAAGATGAAACGGGAGCAGTTGTGTCAGTTTTCACTGGTGGTGCTTTCTTTGGCGCCTTTTTCGCCGGTCCCGCTGGTGACAGGCTTGGTCGTCGACTCACCATTCTGATCGGTGCATTGGTAAGGATTGTCAAAAGCTTCTATAGCACATGAATTTTGCTAACTGAAAGCGCAAAATTAGGTCTTTATCCTCGGTGGTGCACTACAAACTGGCGCACAAGGGCTATCTTATCTCTATGCCGGACGCGCCCTTGCTGGTGTTGGTGTTGGTTTCCTCGTCATGATTGTTCCCATGTACCAATCAGAGCTGGTCCACCCCAGTATTCGTGGACGAGTCACAGCTCTCGTGCAGTTCATGTTGGGCATTGGTGCACTTGCAGCAGCCTGGATCAGTTATGGATGTGATGTCGGCTTTGCAGACAATGACAACGGCCAATGGCGCACATCGCTTGGTATCCAAGTCGTTCCAGCCGTCTTTCTAGCCGCACTCATCATGGTCTTCCCCGAGTCGCCCAGATGGCTTATCAGCAAAGGCAAAAGCGAGCAGGGTCTTCGCAACCTGGCGAAGCTCCATGCAAACGGTAACGAGTCAGATGCATGGGTCATGGCAGAGTACCAGCAGATTCAAGAAGCCATTAGCTTCGAGCGCGAGAATTCGGCCAAGTCGTATGGCGAGCTCTTCAGGGACAGGTCGTGCTTCCGCCGTCTCTTCCTCGCCTGCGCTATCCAGGCATCCGTTCAAATGACTGGTGTTTCGGCTATCCAGTACTACTCCGTCAAGATCTACGCTCAAATTGGTATCAACGGCTCCGACGCCCTCAAGTACCAGGCCATTTCCTCGGTTCTCGCTCTTTGCGGACAAGCACTCTGCATTGCTTTCATCGATCGATTGGGACGCCGCTGGACTCTTATCGGCGGCAATCTCGGCAACTGCGTTACTTTCATCATCGCGACCGTCATGTTGGCTGTTTTCCCACCCGGTAGCAGTGGAAATGCCGCCGCCGCATGGGGCTTCATTGTTGTCACTTGGGCGTACAACTTCTGCTTCAGCTCCACATGTGGACCGCTCTCCTGGATCATTCCCGCCGAGATTTTCGATACTAAGACCCGTTCCAAGGGTGTTTCCATTGCTACTATGACTTCTTTTGCATTCAACACCATGATCGGACAGACCACTGGAGTTGGCATGGCAGATGTTGGCTGGAGGTTCTACCTGCTCTTCGTCGTAAGTATTCCTTTACGATTCATTATCGATTGAAAACTAACCAGATATTAGATTTGCAATCTGACCAACGCCATTTTCTTCTACTGCTTCCTTCCCGAGACTGCTAAGCGCCCGCTTGAAGAGATGAAGTACCTCTTCACCAACGCCCCGCTTTTCGTACCTGGAATGAACAAGCACGACTTCGTGCCAGATATCGATCGTCGCGTCGAAGAGGTTGCTGCGAAGCAGGGATCTATTTCCCACGCAGAGAATGTAATTGAGTCAAAGCACTAGATGCAACAATGTGCTTGAGTTGGGTTATTGTATCTTGATATTGCTTCTAGCATATCGACAGCATGAGAAGACAGAACCTGGAAGCATAATGAACGCATTAGCGCAACTTTCTTGAGCAGAAATGCTCTCTTTGTGTATGTTCGTGATGCCGTTTTCATGTTTGCGTAATATACCCGGATATCATTTTCCAGAGAACGAGATTCAAAATTACCCGCTCACACTCGAAAAACATGGTTACGCTAGGTGATAGCTGGCACGGCATAACCGAATGGATGGGCAGTGCAAGCCACCAGGATAAATACGATTTGGCCAAATAAGGAAGTCGGTCCGACGCGTCTACAGGATATGCATCGGAGAGATGCTTACTTCATCCCAGCATGGTCACACGGGCAATGCATTATAGCCCATGGGTTAGAATAGCCCGAGGTGGGGTATCGAATACGATGAAGCTGTTTCTGTGGGATGCGTTGGTCAGGCCGTTTTGGTATGCGTGAACTGGGTGAGTATTTGTTATGCTTTGGAGCTGCGGTTGATCTGACATGAGCAAATTTGGCTGAATGACGTCAATGCTTGGCAGCCCCCACGCGTCCTCTGCTAATGCTGACCCACAGCGGAATAGTAAATGACCCAGCGTGAACATACAAAGTGCACGGGGATATATACTTATCGGGCGTGATGTATCTAGTTATGCACGGTTAGCAGCATAACAGCATCTTCTTCTCTCTTCATTTCGCACCCTACTAGCTTTCCTACTCACAAACATTATCCTTCGCGATTGCATCCTTCCTTTGGCGGTCACATTACAATATCGTGTTAGCCTCCAATGAATCGAAAACAACCCAATGCTGCTATCCAACTTGAACCCGATGAATCTCGCCATTATGGCCAGCCCACTCATGGAACTTCGTCAGTGTATTTGGCAGAAGTGAAATACTTAATCCCACAAAATAGTTCAAGCTGGGACTAAGGATTTTCCTGAGATTTCAATCTCTTCATAAAAAGGTAAAAGATGGCACGAATTGATCCAAATGGACTACTGCATGTGCAGGAATTGTCGCCATGACAGCCAAATTCTTCAGTGAGGCGAGACGATCGAAGGACGACTACGCTACAGCCATCGAGAGAGAGTGGGTTTATAAAAATGAGCATCCGCGTATCTAGTTGTTCCACATAGTAGAGCAGACGGTCCCGCTAATGTTTTCCTTTACCCAAGCTACTGAACAATGGCGCGAGATCAGGAAACTGAACCAGACTGCAGACAACAGAAGTGGGATGGCGGGCTGATCTTATTGAGGCGGTTAGTGCGAGCGTGTATTTGAAGGGTTCCCGACGACCGAAAGGGGCACAGCAATCTGTTCTTTATGTGGTATTTTGAGAGGGTCTGGTGATGAGGTAGAAGCTTTTTCAGCAGCAGTTTCTCAAAGCATTCGGCTTTAGGGTGATGTATGGGGTTACTACAACTGTGGTACTGGAATTTATAACAGATATCGCACTACAATGTATCCAAAAACCAAATCAAAAGACATATACGCCTCAAGCTTATACAACGATATAGGATCTCTCAACTGATCATTCATAAACTTACACTCGTCTCCAACCCTTCAGAAGATTGCCACAGCATTCGGCACACACGCTACACCGCCCGGTACATCACTCGGCTTACTCACAAGCAAGAAAGTCCACCTCCCCTCCTTTTCGCACCTCTTCGTCAGCTCTTCCAAGTTCCAAAGCTCACCAATCGGCATCCCCCACAGCGGAAGCATATTAGCGTGTAAACTCCCATCCCAAGTCGGTGGCGGCCAAACCTCAAATCCCACACAATCCGTCGCAGCCGCCGCAAAATATCCATCGTACAAGAAATCCTTCATCTCCTCATCCGACGCCAGTCCCACATAGAAATGTTTATCCAGCGCCAGCGCAGCCAAATCCACCTTTCCAGCCGCAGAAAACGCGTTATACTTTTCCTGCCATCCTGTCCTAACTAGGAGAATATCCGCTGTGCGCAACTCGGTCCCCTGGCTCTTTGCACACGCCTTCAAGTCCTCAGCTGTGATGGCGTATCGAGTAAAGGGATCGTATTCTTTGCCTTGTTTTTGCGACCAAGTCCATACATCGAGAAGTACGCCGCGTCCAATGATTCCCTTCTTTGCCCAAGCATCTATACCCAGTTTACGCGATGGCTCAGGGGCGTCCTCGCCGTCTTCCCCGTCATCATTCACATTTGTCATGATGTCATCTGACAAAACGCCATTGTAGTGGCATCCGTACGTTGGGTGGGCAAAATGGCGGAAGCCGTCCCACTGGGTGCTGCTTTGCGTGTTGTACGATACTTCGTCGTCATATGCGCCTTTGACAGCTGATCGGATGCGGTGTTTGAGCCCCAGGCGGCCGAAGAGAGCTGGGCCAGGGACATTAAGGGGGAGATCGAGAGAGATGGAATCGCCTGTTTTGACATTTTCTTGTACGGTTGTGAGGGTTCGTTCGGGGGTGAGCAGGTTCAAGCGGCCAAGTTCGTCGGCGCCGCCCCAGAACCAGGCGTTACCTTTCGGGGTGCCTGATACGTGCGGAAGACCTGAGCGCTTGGGGAAGGTGGCGGCGTCGCCGTTTGGGTTCAGCCGCATCTTTATTATTGATTACCTGAGAAAATGGTCCTTGGGTATCTTGAAACAAACTTTCCTGGGGTGATGTCCAGAATTCTGGGGAAGCACGCTATAAACATGACGTCGATGCTTTGTAGATGACGATACGCTCGAAGGAGTTCCCCGCCCCCACTTTTAAACTCCATTAGGATTATGATAATGCGAAATACAATCCTATCTACATGCATCTGCCATATGACGCCACATTCTCGCGCTTCTCGCATGTAATGGAGGTTCGGTTCAGTCCGATCCTATCTTTCGTATGTAGCTGACCAGATCTAGGCTCCATTTGGAAAATGGTGCTGGAAATGCCATCCCGTCTAGTAAAATGTATATTTTGAAGGTAGTAGAAGACGTAGGTGATTCCTCTAGTGTTACCCCTAGGCCTCTGAATATAGCTGAGAACCTGGTTTTACAATATGACTATAAAGTATCTGTTGATTTCTGGTAGAACTGACATGTCACGTGACCCTTACATAGCTGTTACGATACTACTACTATACAACGGATAACAGCGCCTTCATTCTTTACTCTAGTCTGGTCGTTCCCAGTCGCAACGCTGACCAACTCCCACTAACCTAGATCAGTCCAGAAATCGACACGAAAAAAAACGGAGTACTCAAACAGACTCTTCCGTCCGTTGATATTCAAGTTTCCCCATCAGCTCAATACTCCTCCATCAACAGCATGCACCCCGCCCGTGGAGTAGCTGCTATCATCGCTTAGTAAATAAATCGCCAACCTCGCCACCTCTTCGGGCCCGCGCGTTCTTTTCAGAGGAATACCATGCTCCACCTCCGTCAATATCTCTGGGGTTGCAGCTGTTGCGAACATGGGCGTATTGATTGCACCTCTGCATCTCACATCAGCCTTTGCACGTTCTAACAATACGTGACAAAAGTAACGAGCGTACTTACGGTGAAATGGCACTAACCCGGATTCCCAAGTGCCCCACCTCGTTGGCCGCAACTCTTGTTATGCCAACGACACCGTGCTTACTCGCTGTGTAAGGCGCACATGCAAAGCGACCAGCCAGGCCTGCGAGACTTGCTGTGTTCACGATGCTGCCTCCAGTGCCTTGCTTACTCATGACTCGAAGTTGCGCGCGCACTGCATAGAACGTGCCATCTTGGTTGACACTTTGTATTTTCGCCCATTCTTCGTCAGTCGTGTCTACAATCTTTGATGATTTGATGAAGATGCCAGCGTAGTTTGCCGCGCCGTTGAGAGCGCCGAATTTGGCCACTGTGGCTTGGATCCAATTGTCAACTTGAGATGAAGAGCTGACGTCGACAACGGTTGTGAGGATGTCGTCGGTACCGGATGAGTTGGACGCTCTCAGAGCGTTGGCTGCCTCCTGTAGTGCAGCTTTGTTAATATCGGCTAGGGAGAGCTTGGCTCCCATCGGGTACAGCAGTTTAGCAGTTGCAAGACCCATACCCGATTCTGCACCTGAAATTGCGATGACCTTGCCGCATAGAGATGGGTAGATAGTTTGGGACGACATTGTTGAAGGCTGTGATCAAGCGTTGATTCTTGTTTGGTTCTGACTGCGTTGGTGAATGGAGCACAAATTGCCTTCTCGAGACTGGCTATGGTGTTGCCAAAGATGATTTCATAGAGGATGTACTTATATATACGTAACACGGGAACGGAGCCAGCGGATGTCAAGGGCTGGTGTGGTTGTACTTGTACGACAGTAGTAATAACAGTAGACCTTCTCAGCCAACCAGTCAGCACAGAACAAGTACCACTAGTAATACCCCTCAAAGCTGTAACAAACTTGTTTTGTATTTAAACATGAATGGTTGGTTTTATCTTCACTAGGGTTTGACATCCAATACCTATAGCAGCTTTGTGAAAGGACAAATGAGTTGTCTCCAGGTCGGTTATTGGTTGTACATACCTCGGGTGATGTTAGCTGTACAAGTAACTTTGACTGATATTATGGGGTAGCTTTCATCCGACTATTCCGACAGGCCTAGAAAAACAGATCTACACAACTTCCGCAACCGGTCAGATCAATCAACAAAGCCACCAAAGTAATAGTATAGCCCACAACATGTGCCGATCCCCGCATCTTGGATAGGCGACTTCATGGCATTTTCGGTTATTCGTTATCCGTGTGCTTTTTGTTACCCTTCTGGGTTTAGAGCTTCGACATGAGGAGCTCTACTTACCTTTTGCCCAGATTAAGATGAAAAAAAAGAGGGGGGATGTTTAGTTAGGGTTACATCTTTACCCAAATTCTAGTCACGTATTAGTCACGTAGTGGACTATACTACTAATCTAGTAACAAAACGGAGTTTTTAGCTACGAAGAGAGGTCTACCTGAAAACGAAGCTCCGTTTTGCTTATAGAAAAAAAGAAAAAGCAGTATGCTAAAACAGTACTAGAAATAGTAGTCCTTTCAAAGCGTACTCGTCGTGATTCGCCTCCTCCCCCACCTCTTCATTTCCCAATGTTTCACCATCTACGATGCAACGCACGTCTTCTTATGCGTCTTCCAATCCACCTTCTGACACTCCTGCGAGCAATACCTCGCCTTCTTACATTTCGCACAAGCCGGAAACGTCTTTTCACCCTTGGGACTCCTCCCACAAGTCGTGCAATCCCCTTCTTTCCTCGGTCCCCTCCCATTCTGAATAACCTCGGCCATCTGCGGCACCTTCTTCTTCATCATCTCGACCAAAATCTTGACACTCATACCGTCAGTATCTTTGTTTTCGATATCACCCCCATGCTCGATGTACCACTTCATCATCTGCACGTTCTTGGTAGTATCGCCGTGAAGATCTGCTTGCGCTATCTCGCTTGCTGGAGTAGCATTGAATCTGTTTTTGGTGTTGACAGAACCTCCTGCATCGAAGAGAATTTGCGCAAATTCTGGTTGTACATAGGGCTTTGTAGATATGGCCCAGAATAGTGCTGTGGAGCCTAGGACGTCTTTTCCGTCGACTGGTACTTTGAGATCATTGGCAAGGTACTTTACTATTCCGAGTAGCTCCTCCTTCTTTCCTGGGAGCATGTGGAGTGCTGGTAGTAATATTGCATAGACAGGGGTTTTGACAGGACCCCATCTCTTCGCGTACATGTCCTGTCTGACAGTCTCACGTGCGTTTTCATCCCCGCCTAGTTGTTTAATCATCATCTCGCAATAATTTTGTAGCGCATCGAATTCTCCATTGAATGCAGCGAGGAGAGTTTGGCCCACTGGATCTTTCAGGTCACGGCTAGGCGCAGTGGGATTGGCCTGGGTCCAGCCTCTGAGTTCCATGCCGTCCATGCCAGCGAGCTGATCATCAGAGTTTATGAGATCCTCTATCGTGCTTCGTGTACATGTCAGCAAAGGGCCGCCCATCTGGGCCACTGGTGCTCACCGCTTAGACCGCGGCTGCATATTTTCGAGCATTTGCAGAAAGTTGGCAGCCATTTTGGAAAGTGAAGTTCAGTGTACGATCACGTGAGACGCTGGAGTAAGATTGCTCTTTCGGGTAAATGAAGATACTTGGAGATATAGATCGGGGCTAGACCGGCAAAGTGAGAGTAGTGTGGGTGTACAGTAAGAACGTAGCGTCCATTGTAAGAGCGAAACGGCCCGCATGTGCGGCGCCACCACGCTAGAGCCATTGAAGCGAGTGTAGACGGCCTAAAAGCTTAACTCTCCATACGGACAATTACATCACTATGCTCTCCACATTTATTCATGTTACACAAATCTGAAATGATCTTTGTGTGACTTTGCTTATTTGAAGTCTTCATATAGGAGTACAAACCATACAGGATAAGAATGATCGCTGATGATGATAAAATGAATTCAACAAACGGTTCCAAAGATCCAGCCTGCTGCTATCCCAGGTATCAAATCCCGAACGCCATCGAGGACGCGAGCATCGAAGATCCAATCTCTCTAATCTCGGTCGTGTTTTTGTCGTGAGCTAATGATTGCTTACTTCTTCAACGCAGCATCGTACAAGCTGACAAGTATACCGACAATTGAGCTGATTTGTAGACCGTAATATCCTCCAGGCACGTGGTTTCCAACGCGGGCTACTGCAAACTCGGAGAAAGGACCCCAGGCCCTCGGGACAAGAGACGTGTTGGTAGTGTCCCGGTACGCGCTGTAAGCCAATATCGCCCGTGCAATGTTGAAGATGAGAGGATCAGCGGGATACTGGCGATCATCTGATTTGCGGGAGGTGTTTGAACGGAGAGTCAGGTTGAAGAAGTATGAGAAGAAGAGCGGCAGGACCCAGCTGGTTAGTGACCACAGGGTTGCGGGCGCCCACCAGTCGGCCGTCAGAAGTGCCCAACCGTTGGGACCTCTGATTTCCTGGCTGTTGGAGTATGAAGCGAGCGCAGCGGGCGTAGCAAACAGAGGTGTCGTATCAAGCGTGTTCCACTGGAGTCCCACAGCCTCAATGAGCAGGATTATCGTCTGAATGGTAGCAACAGAGCTTGCGTTTTCACGAATAAACTCCTTCAGCTCGTCGATCCTGGTCCTGTCCCAAATTTCAGTGGCCTTTGTCTTTACAATCTGAAGCGATTGGTCTGCAACTTCAGCTAGTTGCGCAGGCGATGGGGGAATATCAACTTGGGGAGCGATTTCAGAGACGCGTCGAGAAACTGGTTTAGGCGTTCGCGACTTTACGGCGCTGTTCTCAAAGGCACTTCTGCGCTCTATAGCTGTGCTGCGCTCTACAGCTGGGGTGCGTTCCACAACCGGGGTACGTTCAGGCTTAGGCTCCTCTTCACTGTGAAGGTGTCAGTCTCAACGCGCAACGCGTCGCGTGCTTGGGGTATGACGTACGCAGGCTCCTTGATAATTGTGCGTCGGCGCGTCGTCTTGGTCACAGTAACAGGTGCCGTAGGCGACGAGCGCTCGCGCTTCACAGGCGATCCGTTGCGACCATAGTAGTCGCGGAATTCTGGGAGTTTGGCATATAGCGTCTCATTGGAGTTCAGATGGTTTGCCAGCGATTCCACCAAATCATCCTTCAACAGACCATCCGCACTGCGGGGCGAGTATTAGTTTCGCGGCATACGCGCAAGATCGATTTGAGCCTACTCGGGGAGTCTAGCCTTCTGTGCAAGGTCAATCAGGTCGGCTTTGCGCTTCTTCTGCAGCCAAGTGTGAGACATGGTGAATGGTACAGTCTGAGTCGCGTGCGCGTGGCGATTACAATGATATAAATAATGAGGCGAAAAGGGAATGGGGTGCGAGAAAAGGTGGGGGCGGTGTGGTGTTGACCAGGTGGGAAGAGAGTTAGTGGTACGCGAGGCTCGAGATGTAAACACGAAGGCTGGGGCTCACGTGGGTCAGATGGGCGCTAAGTCGGCGGCTATAGGGCCCAGCCTTGAAGCCCTTTGTCCTGATCTGCAGCAGGACAGCGCATTGTCGTTACGCGCAGGGCCACGTTATGCATGTTTCGTGCTGCATCCGATACATGACAGTTCCCTCCGTAGTCTGGCCTCTTATCTGTGCTAATCAGGGCCTCATCAGGTCCCTGTGCTCCGTTGTGGCGGTGCATGCAAGGGGTCATGTGGCGCCGCTGTGGCGCAGTCCCGGCCTTGGCCGAAATTTTCTAGACAGCAGCATCATCGCAGGCCCGCATCGGCTGCAACGTCACTTTTTGCTTTTATCGCCCTGCTTCCCTGCGTCTGCCTTCTATATTTGCAGCATTCCCGCTACATCACTCACAATTCTTCCCACAGCGCACCACCGCCATCTAAGCGCTCATGGTACTTGCCCGCGTGGCCAACTTCTTCACCAACGGAGACTCTACCAGTACTCTCACCGATAGTAGCCGGGACTATGTCGCAAATACAACACGAGCAAGGGCGCTGCCCATGGAGGATACCAAGCGAAGAGTGATTGACGAGGAGGTGATAGACGACGAAGCAGCGCGGCCGCCATACCTACATGTGAGGATGCCTAGCCGGCAAACATGAAGGCATGCCAATTGACCATTTACAGGCAATGCTGGCAGGAGGCATAGGAGGCACCACAGGCGACATGCTGATGCACTCACTCGACACTGTAAAGACGCGCCAACAGGGCGACCCGCATATGCCACCAAAGTACACATCCATGGGTAATACATACTACACCATATGGCGGCAAGAGGGATTCAAAAGAGGATTGTATGGCGGTGTTGAACCTGCCTTTCTTGGATCGTTCATTGGCACCATGTGCTTCTTTGGCGCATATGAATGGACAAAGCGGACTATGATCGACTATGGCGTCACTCCATCAGTCGCATATTTCTCAGCAGGTACACTGATGCCTAACCTACACTCAGAAGAAATATGCTAATATGTTATCAGGTCTCCTAGCCGACCTCGCGGCAGCCCCCGCATACGTCCCGTCGGAAGTCCTCAAGACCCGCCTTCAATTGCAAGGCCGACATAACAACCCTTACTTCAATTCCGGCTACAATTATCGCTCTACCATTGACGCCGCACGCACAATCGCCCGAACCGAAGGTTACAGCGCCCTTTTCCACGGCTACAAAGCGACACTTTGGCGCGACTTGCCCTTTTCCGCACTGCAATTCGCCTTTTACGAAGAAGAGCGCGGCTGGGCAAAAAAGTACATGGGTACTAACAACATTGGACTCCCCCTGGAAATTGCGACCGCAGCAACAGCAGGAGGAATGGCCGGTGTCATAACCACACCTCTCGACGTAGTCAAAACTCGCATCCAAACCCAGCACAACGGTCCTTCTCCAGCCTCCCCAGCCGCACCCAAAATCTCGCTTTCCCCAGCATCAACAACGAAACATGCACCACTCACACAGTCTGTTGCCCCGCGCTCTACAACGCAAAGCAGACCCATATCTACCTCGTCGCCCTCAACGACGCTCAAAGCACATGGCGCAGCAACGCTCGACACATCATCTGTCGTCACGGGTTTAAAGATAATATACAAGACTGAAGGCGTGGCTGGCTGGTTCAGAGGCGTAGGACCCCGTGCGGTCTGGACGAGCGTGCAGTCTGGTACTATGCTCGTCTTGTACCAGACGCTTCTCCGGTATTTTGAGGAGCATCCCCTGTCACGTGCTGAGGATGTGTAAGATTAGCTTCTTTTTTTTTGCATAAGCATTTTGTACGATGAATGAATCAAGGTGGTATAAGGTGACATAGAAGTATGCATTCGCGGCGTTGTTTTATTCGTTTTTTTGTAAGTCGGGACAATCGCCTCTTTTGGTTCATATGAGGGGCTACATGTTTTGTAGAGCGATAGAATTGTGGGAATACCAAGGCCTCTTTACACTCATGACATATTTTTACGGATCGTGATGGTGACAAGAGACAAAGGCTTGTCTGCGTGGAAATCAATCAGTTCACCAAGATATCTACATGAGTCTAAACAACAGATCAAGGCACCTGTACAACAGAGCCTTCTCCAACCAACTTTCTCTCTCACTCCCTCGAGCTCCACAAACATCAACTTTCCTACCGCCTGCCCCTCTCATCCTCCCCACCTCCACCTCCACCCGACCCAGCCATCTGCCCCGTATTAGCCCTCTTAACTCGCCTAAAACACGCAAACTGGACCTTCGTCCCCTCCCTCAATCTCTTCAGCACTGTCCTCAAATTGCCCAACTCATCCTGCAACTTGACTCTCGCCGCATTATCTGTCTTCTGGTCGAGGACCTGATAAATATCCGTCTGGATCTGCGACGCCTGCTCTGTCGTATACGCCGAGAGCGTTTGCGCCATGAATTCCACATCGAGGGTTGCTTGCATGAGTTGCGGGAGGGAGATGGTGGGAAGGTTGTCGGACTGGAATGTTTGGATTAGGGAGGCGGTGGTGGATTCGAAGAGGGAGCGCAGGATGCGTGGGGTGAGGGGTGCGGAGGTGGTGCTGGATTCGGTGTGCACGATTACGAGGTCGAGGAGGACCGAGAAGACGTAGGGGCTTGGGTCGCGGTCTGCGACGGATTTTTGGTTCGGGCCGGGAGGGGGAGCCCAGGCTGGAGAGAAGATGCCTGATTGAATTGTCGAGTTTATTTTTGTGGCGTGGGGCTTGGTGTAGGAGCGGAAGAGTTGCGAGTCGAGTTGGGAGAGGACGTCGCGGATGCGGTTTGTTTCGTCAGTGAGTTGGACGCTGAAGAGGGTTTCGAAAAGGTTGAGAAGGGTTGGTGTTATTTCTGATTGGAAGGCGGACATGTTGGCGAGGGTCAGGAGGAGTCGGATTGACTATTGGTTGTTAGACTAATACGTTCTTTGCAGTAGTTGAGGGTTCCTACCTTTTTGTTGGCATCGACTCTGCCCCACTCGTTTCCAGTATGGTCTTCCTGCTCGTCAATGGTAAGGTCATCACTCTTGACCTCGAATTCGTCGCCAAGTGCCTTTCTGCCTCTTTCAGCACATTCAACCATACCGCTCAGTGTTCTGTACAAGCTCGTCACGAACTGGCCTCTAACCATCTGCAGCAGTTTGTTGCTCGGCGGCACAACCACATCAATCTTGGTCTTGCTCGATGCCTCAACATAGAGTATCTTCTGAAGGTTATTCAGCAGGAAACTCTGTACTGCCAGGAAGCGCTGAGGCAGATTTGTAACATCCTTGCGGTCAACATGGCGGGTCCAGTCCTCAAGCACTTTGAGTTTCTCTGCATCAGTATTCCAGGCTGCACATACAGCCTGCACAGAGCGCTCACGCACTCCACCCAGCAGTAATCGCAAGGACTCATCAATGCGCCCACTGCCTCCAGGCTCTGGCACTTGTAATGACGCCAACTCATTGGCTGCAGTGCCAATCAGAACAAGGGTCTTGGAGAGATAATGAGATCCGGATAGAGCATTGGAATGAGGAGGCCAGAAGGCATACTTCTCCCATGTTTCACCTCGACTGGGTGATGGTGGTGGTACTTTGCTGAGGTCAAATCGTGACCTGGTTGCCGAGGTGGGACTCAGAATACCGCTTCTTGGTGTTCCAGGAGTTGTCGGTGTAGGAGTTGTCGGTGGTAATGGCGAGAAGAGTAGTGACACATCCTCGATAGGTGGGTCTGAAAAGAATGAGAACAGATGGTCTCGGAGAATACCAATGAGCTCCGTAGTACCCCTCTCTAGCTCGGCCTTGTTTTCGCTACTCAGCCGATGATGTACAGATGACTGGCCGTGATGACCTGCGGGCAAATTCCTTTGCGCGCGTCCAGAGAGGAAAGATTGGGCAATATCCCAGTATTCGATAAGCTCCCCCAGCAACCCGCCTTTTGTAGAGAGAAGTGTGTTCATCAAAGCATACACGTGCTCCCAGAATTCGATCACTTTGGGAGTGTCCAACTTGGATGGCTCAGCACTGATATTGCTGCTAGTCGGAACCGAACGCAAATGCTTTTGCAGTAAACGCAGGCTCGGCTTTTCACCGTGAACCAAATGGCGGCGAAGGATCTCGATTTCAACGACTGAACGCTGACAGGTAGAGTTGATGTGCAGTTTGAGGTGCTCATATCGTGAGATGAGCCATGCCCAGATTGGATTTTCCTCTACACCCAACTCGAGCAATATTGAAATGATGCTCAGGTACTCGTCCGACTTGGTCTCCTCACTTCCAGTTTGCAGGTTTGTGAAGTGCGTCGCTGTGAGGCGTTTCCACGAATCTCGCTTGAACTTTTCAATCTGTCGCTCCACATCCGACCACATTCTTGCTGTAACAATGACCTGGTGTATCTCGGAGTCGGTAAGTGGTGTCTGTGCAGAAGTCGCTTGCTCCGCAATGTATCGGGCTTCCTCTGCATACTTGCGCGCGCGCTTGTATTCTTCTACAATTGTCTCGTGGTCTTTGTGGCGTATTGCCTCCTCTATAGCGGACCCAACTTCGAACATGCCGCGATGATGCTCCACAGATTCTAAAATGGACTTGAGTGTCTCTTCTCTTTCTCGCCCGTTCAGCGCAGGACCCCACACTTCCTCTGCTTTGACAGCGACTTCGGTCAGCGGGGCCTTGATGCCTTGTACACCATATTCGCTCTCCTTGACCAAGGCATTCTTCCTCTTTTCCGCGGGCACAGGATCGACCATGCCCGATGAGAGGTTTGCGCTCGACTTGCGACCAGAGAAACTGGAACGGCTTCTTGTGCGACCTTGTGGTGGAGCACTGAGCGATTCCGACTGATCTTTTCCTTGGGCGCGCATCTCGTTGTAGACGCGGTCAATGGTAGCCTTTGCGCCCACAAAACGGTCAAAGTTGGACTCGACAAGGACCTTGAGCGAGGCTGACTTCTTCTCAATAGAGCGAGAAAGGAAGTCAAGACCGGAGAGAAGGGCGTCTGTAGAGGCTTCATTGTGGACTTGGGAAAGGAAGAGGGAGGGCGAGAAGGTAGTGGAGCTCAAGAGGAAGCGGTTGCCTGTGGGCCATTAGACATGCCCCATGTGTATTGCTATATTGTTTAAACATACGCAGCTTGATATCATCCTCGACCTGCACGTTCTTGGCTCGCAGCACCTGCACTACACTGGGATACATGCCCAACGGGTCCTGTTCATCCTTCTGTACCAGCGTCTCCACGCCATCCTTGGACCGCTCTGCTCCGGGAATCTGCCGCGAGAATCGGGGGCTGGGTTCTAGTATGGAGAAGCGCGACTGCGATCGGCGAACGGGTTTCTGGGTGACTTTGGTCGCTGGTTCGACATACTCCTCATCTTCATCGGCAGCATCCTTCTCCTCGGGCCATACCGCAGGGTACAGCGTCGTGAGATTGTATTTGTTCAGTATCTCCGTCTCTATCGACGAGCTCATTGTAGCTGTGGCGAGGTTCGAAAGGTCATTCAATCTGGAAATGCCCCCGTGGAGCGGTTGTGAGTTGCGTGTCGCAAGTGACAGCTCGCTGAGACGCGGTTGCGGCCACCAATCAGACACGCGTAGTAGTGCTTGGCGGTGAGACTGCACATTACGTCTAACGACCTGCCCCACTTCATAACATAACATCTTGCCAGAGTCAGATAAAAGCAAACTTACTCAGAAAGTGATATTTACATGATGTTTCGAGTATCACCGTTTTATTTCCAAGTACGTAGTCGAATTGGAGCACTCACACCCCCACTCTTATCACCTATCCATTCAAGAGATACATATACACTTGCACAACGCCGTGCCCCGGTAATCGTGTCTGTAATGGTTATACCAAATGATTTTATTGAGAATAATCTCTTCGGCGTCATGCACTAATGGCCATTATTCGGGGTTATATTCTCTCTCTTCCAAGATCATGACGCCCATCCGAGTTCGAAATTCAGTATCAGTGGAGAGTTTGCAACTCTTACTAGTGATTTTGAAATAAAAAATCCCCATATATCTCTCCATGAAAGTCCTGATATTAGCCTGTTCTTCTCTCACTTCTCGACCTATACACGCTCTGATTTTACCTCAGGCTCTCACTTCTAGAGCCCCTCTAGTACGGTACCAATCTTCCCTCTGGGTATATAAACTATCAAACTGAGGGAGCATCCTTTCATCCTCTTCTCCACTTGATACTATTTCATATCCATCGATAGTCTGTCCTTGTCACTACCTACCTCCAGCATGGACTTGCCCAAGTCCGCATCCCCTGCGCATACAAATACGCTTGAGGAGACTTCGACACCGGTCTCGGAAGCAACATGCACAAGCCCAATCCATGGACAAGATGTCTCTGACTTGGAGGCTGAATCAGAGGCTTCACAACTTATAGATGATTCTCAGCCAGCGGCGCACACTGCCTCCAACCAACCAACTCCTGATGATGACGACGACGATGATGATCATGAAGAAGAACAAGATTCTTACTTCACGGGTGATCTAGCGGAGAACCAGCGAAGAGAAGTCAAATCTCGGTTCTTGGGCACCGTTGATATGTTCGTCTCAAAATCTTACATTGTATCCCGAAAATACTGACCGAACGTAGCACATTCGACTCTCAAGACGAAAACATGCGTGTCCAGTGCAGCTTGTTGCCAAAAGATTTCTACCGGACCTTCTACGAAACTTCGGCCACTCTAAGTCGCTATGTGACTGTTGACACTCACGTGAAGCATCGCAAGAGGAAGGATCTAAAGATGGATGATCGCAACGCCTTCCAGGCTGTTGCGGTTTTCTCTCTTGACCAAAACATGTTTCTGGAAGAAATCGAGAGGCACCTCGTATGGAATCAAAAGAAAATCCCATCTGCATATATATCGGTTTTCAACGGTATCGGTAAGTATCATGATCAAGCGTCTATCTCAGGTAAGCCCAAACTAACGCATTCCAAGACCATGCAAAGAGACGGGCAAATTTCCATTACGATAGGAGTCAGCGCATCGGACAGCGTGTAAGCGTCGCCAAAATACACACTAAGGGCCTCATTCCTGCCACTATACGCGCAGAGTGTGAAACAACTGTCAAAGTTTTCACCCAAACTTACGTGCTTGGAGAAAGCGTGAAAATCAAAAGTTACTCTCGACAAGTCGACATTCCCATATGGATCCATAAGAAAGCAATGGAGCAACACGGCCGTACTATCACACCTGAGCAGTTGAAGAAATCCGGCGCGGATATGTGGTTGTCCATTACGGAACTTCGCATGTCGAACCTCAAGGTAGCGGGGCCCACATTCAACAAGACCAGAGATGTGATCTGCGCAAAAGGACACGACTACGAGTGGCTCTGTTGCGGCGGCATTCCCAAGTCAATAATCGAGGGTGTTTATCCTTGGGATGGCAAGGTATTACACATGACTGACCCTGGCCATCCGATTCGAAGTTTCGAAAACAGTGGTCAGCCTTGGGTCTGGAGTTGGAAAAAGGAGATTTGGCTCCCGGAGTTGTTTTCAGCCTCTGCAAATGCTGCCCAGAGTGAAGGTTCCAACACCAAGCGCCAGCGTACTGATGAAGAGGCGGTCATCCAGGATAAAAACAAGAAGACAAAGGTTTCTGAGTGCTCTAAAGCACGCCCGCTGCTCTCAATGAGTGCCGTTCATACGATCTGGTCTGAGCTTTGAGAGACGCAGCTAATGCATGCCCCGGCATACATTGACGACTACGCCCTCGGATTCACCATATCTCACGGGAGGCTAACTCAGCCTTGCTCATCACATCTGCTTCTTTCATATTCTGCCTTCGGTCTTTCCTGATTTTTCATCCCATCAGCCCCAGCCCAGTCATATTCAGTTCAATCCCAAATCTCGGTCGATTCAAGCATATCCAGCATTCCCCCATCATATGTCTTGCGTTCTCTATCACATGTACTGCATTCTGCATTTCCACCCATTATACCCACTGCATCCCCCAGATATCTCATGTACCTACGATACCCCCCCCCTCCCAACAACAACAACAACAACAACATCAACACCCCTTGCTCCTTCGGCCACTGCTGATTTCCTCTCAACCATGTTTCCCTATTAGTAGTGAGAATGTTCGCAGCTTATCACTAACGAAGCTTGGATTTTCTTCATCGAGAACGACCGTACTTTGGACGCTGTCTACAATCCACGTTGCCTACCCATCACCTTATCTAGGCTGGTAGTTATCCATCTAGACGTAGCGTGCGCTCGGGGAACTAAAATAAACTAGCTCATGTGGCGAACTCCTACATACAAAGAGACTGGTGAGTTTTATTCTAGAGCTTAATCACATTCTCAGCGTCTTTCGTAAGAAAGCTCAAGAAAGCTCAAGAATGAGACTGACCAGTCTCTTGTTTTGTTTTGTTTCTGTCCTTTTTCTACCCATACATTGCTACACCTTATACTCATTGTACTTGGCACGTAGGAAAACACTTGAGGACTCTTGCATGTAGACGTAGATATTGTTTGTTTACGTACACATGCTATATCTAGGTAGTATTATGTACATAGTCTTACTTCTATAGTGTCGTGGAGCATTTTTCACCTCCATCTGCGCGGGTGCTCGATGCATAAAATGATTGTATTGTTCAGGCCTGAAGGGTCTTCCGTCCTGAAAGTTGGTTGTGTATCTATGGTTGTTGTTGTTCTCTCTTATGTACTTCCTATTATATCCCCGTCCGAATACCCCTCCGGCCTTCTCATAGCATAATCCCAACTGCTCCACAACAATAGCGTGGTTGCACTGTATGTGGTACGTAGGGGGACAGTTTTGATCCAACCAACATATCAATCCGCATCCTCAAACATCCGCAATAACACAGAAGACGTTTAGTGTTTTTTTAAAAAAAAATAGCAGAGAAGAGTAGAAACTTATATTTCCTTTGTACTTATACAAAGAAGAAAATAAGAAAAGAGGTATGCAGTTGTCACCTTCCTTTAAAAAAACGAGAAAACGCCGTGATACATGTACCCATTCCCTTCCCAATCTGCCAATGAAACCCCGAAATCCAAGAAAACGAGACAAAGAAAACGACGAAAGGAAAAACTCAAGAACACCATGAGTGCTCCCCATATCATTCTGATATCCAAAGTGAGAAAAAAAGAGAAAGAAGTCACACCCTTCACTGGTGCACCTGACTAACGTGTCCATTCCCCCACTCACTCTCGTCATCACTGCCGATATGCGACCACTCGCTCGGCGTCATGATACCAGGTCGGTTCTCAGAGTCAAACTCACTAAAGCCGCCTTCTGAAAAAGCATCTGTGAAGCCGCCCTCGGAGAAGATTTCAGAGCGGGCATCGTGATCAGAGTCGTTTTGCATGCTGAGGATGCCAATGTCGTCGGCGCGGATGGAGGCGGCGGAGGCGGAGGCGAGGGTCATGGAGCGCTCAGAGCGAGGGGTTAGGGTGCCGGTGGAGAGGTGGGAGGGGGATGAGGGACGGGGTTCTGCGAGAGGTTCTGCGAGGGGTGAGGTGGAGGATGTGATGGAGTAGAAGGACTGGGCGGCTTGGTCTGCTTGGTCTGCTTCGTCGGCTTGGGGTTGGGCGGGTGAAGATGGGACGTCAGGAGTGGGGGTTAGGTCGACAAGAGTAGCGGCGGCTGGAGTGGAGGCAGTATCGGGTTGGACGGTTGCAGAGCTTTCGCGGGTGTCAGCTTGGGTGGAGGGGGAAAGTGTTTCGTCGTGGTGGTCGTTGTCCAAGAGAGTTGCGTCATCGTCGAATGGGTTTGCGAGAACAGCCGCCGCAGCTGAGCCGGCGGCAAAGCCGGCCACGCCGCGTTTCCTGATGTCGCCCTTTGCAGAATCCGTGCCAGTCGTGTTTGCCTTGTCCTTGAGAGTACCGTCGCTGCCAACCATGTCGTCGAAGCTCTTTGTGCGATCCGCCCTCGATCTCTGCGCGGCAACCTCAGCAGTCTCGGCCCCAATCCTGGCCAACTCGTCGAGATCCACGGCAATTCCCTCTTCTCTTGCTCTTCTAATCAGCTCGTTCCGATTTCTCCGAACCAGCTCCTCTCTCCTCCGCTTCCTTTCCTCGAAATCATCTGACGTTTCGCTGGGGCGGCGAGGCTGAATGTCATCGCCGAGATTATGCAGCGCGAGGGCAATCTTACGGCGCGTCTGATCAGCCCATTGTCGGACCTGGGGCGACTCGTAAATGGCGATTCCGGCAGCGACAATAACGGATGCAGCGATTATAAGGCCTGATGTCAAGGGGTGGTTAGGACGATATGGTGGGGTGGTAGCTCCATGGCAGGGAGGAGCTGAGCGTGGGCCGGTGCCTGCAAGCAGGTTGGCAGAAGACTAGGGAACAGACAGGAAAAAACACGGGGAATGGAGAATGGGGAATACCATCGTGAGCCCAGACGGAGAACACGAAGTTAGGCGTGCATTAAGTGGAGAGCTGTGCTCATAAGTAACTCACCTTTGGCTAGTGGCGCAGGCATCTTCGCGAGGCTACCCGGACAGCGGGTGCTGCTGGACGGAACAGATCTTTGGAGGAAGCAATGAATGAAGGAGCGTCGATGTCGGGATGATGTGTTTTATAGCTCCACCAGAAGGATGTGAGTGGAAGAAGAGGAGGACTCGAAGTACAGGGGACAGTAGTCGGGCGGTTGTCAGGCCGTCGTCGCCACTTGCACAGCCGCAGGACGGATGATATGCAGGGCTCCGGGCGGCGTTGGCGGGGTCGCGTGCCATTCGCGCTAATCCCGCCCGACATGAAGCTCATCGCCCCGCAATTGGCTGGCCCGCCTCAATCACGTCTCTGGCATTTATCTAATATAGTACATGGTGGATTTAAAGCCATATATGTTGCGCATTTGGCATGTCAGAACTTGCATGTTAGTCTCTCATAGAATATGAAAGAAGAAAAAAGACGCACATCTTTCTTGGTACCACGCCACCCTGGTCAATGCATAACTATGTACATACACATTATTCATGTATCCAATGTTCGAGACTTGATGACCAAATAGGGACCAACACTCGAGTTATGTCGTATTCACAACCTAGTCCTCTTGCGGTCCTGTCCAGCCATTCACATACTCTGCGCTTACTCGGATATCACGGCCAGTGTTTCATACGCTCTCGAGGTCCGAAAGCGCGAATAGGCGCTATTGCAGCTAGTTTGCTGGCAGGTACGTAGCCCTCGCGTAGGCGTTCTAAAATCTAACTCTAAATCTACTAAATCTAAGGGGGGATATGCACGTGTTGGGTTGACAGAGATTCCGACAATCACACATCCCGGTGGCCCTCATGTTCCTCCAATTCCCGCATCTTCCTCGAGTGTTCGCCGTAGATACCCCAGAAACAGGCAAAGATGCCCAACACGCTCGAGGTGAGGGTGACGTAGTATGCGGTGCGGTAACACGAAAGTCCCACCTCGCAACCGCGCTGGCCATCGGGCTCCACTATCGAGTTGGAGTCGTAGACAGTACCATAGAACAGATTGAACACGTTGCCGCTGACGACGGGTGCCAGAGTCATGAATCCCCAATTGACAGCGAAACCATCCGGGCCGAAAGCGTCAACAACCAGCACAGGGAAAACACCAAACAAGACTCCATATGCGAGACCAGAAAGTCCGGAAACAGCCCATAGGTAGTGTGGATCCTCAACACGGATCGCAGCGCCTTGTGCAAGGGCAAAAATCGCGGCCGAAATTGCAGCGCACCAGAAGCGCGAGTGGTTCAAACGCTTCACGATAAGATCGGAACCAATACCAGACGAAAGTCGTCCCAGGAAGGAGCAAAGCGAAATCAAAGAGACGTGCCACAGCTGGCGGTGAGCGAGGAAATCATCAGTAACCTTTTGATCCCAGAATTTCCAGAGTGCTTGCACATCATGGCCAATGTTGCTAAACAAGTCAGTGATGATTTAGTGCCCAGGTACAATTGAACATACTTGATGGTCATGAGGCCAACACCCGACAAAAGACCCATGAGAACCCAGAGTTGCCAAAACTCCGGTCTACGTAGCAGAGCCAGTCCAGTCACGTCTGTTGAAGAGTGAGCCGACTTCTTGCTTACGGCTTCGGAATCATCGTCGACAATATCGCCAGGAAGAGATGACAGAAGCGACGATACTTCTGTAGAGGGGCCGTCTTGTTCTTCCTCGGCTGCTAGAAGTGGTTGGCAAGTGACAGGAAAAAAAGGACGTGGATAGATAAGAAATAGGGTGCTTACTGGTCTCCTGTTGCGGTAGAGCGGAGGACTTGAACTTGGTGCTAGTGCTAGACTTTGTCGTATGAAGCACATTTGAGTCACGTCGTGTACGCTCGCTAGTGGGTATCACTGCGTAGCCAGTGCCAGCCTTATGATCGACGACGATAAGGAAGGGTATTGATACTAGTACGAGACTCGAAGTTGCAAAAGATAACATCGTAAGTAGGCCGGATGTGTTTCCCGGGAACGCGATGCCGGCGATGAGCGTGTAAAAGAAAGCACTAAGGCCAAAAGCAGCCAGCGGACATGCCGTCGCCGATCCACGGTGAGTTGGCCAGTTGAGAGTAGCTGACAACGGTCAATATGAATTCGTGGGGAGATAACGGGGAGCAAACCAGTCTTCAAAGCAGCCTGAAAAGCAGCACAGCTGCCCACACCGCTCAAGAAAGAACAAAAGGATATCAAGGCCACACTCATGTAGCCGGGGCCTCCATCGTATGCTGGCAACAGTCAGACACAACCTTGACAACCAAAGTCGAGGTATCATACCCAGTTTGATGGGGTAGTATCCCACAAAGAGCGCAAACATGCCGATGATAGCAGCAAGTCTTGGGCTCTTCCGATCCGTTATCATGCCCATAGGTATGCCGGCCGCATACATGCCTAGATTGGCGGCAGTTCCCTAAAGATTGTAAGGAGGGATATACGTCGACTGTAGGAGGAAGGAGAGCGTACGATAATGTTACTCTGAGTAGCAGAGAGCTTAAGCTTATCGGCGAACTGCGGTGCCCATGCTGAGTAGGCATACTGAGGGGTGTTAGCATCCCGGCCGCCCTTGGAGATGGAGACGTACGTTTGTGCCACAGGCAAGAGCAATCAAAGTAGCAGCGACGACGGACACGATGCGCGTCTTCTTGTGTGTGGGAGGCATTGTATCGGCGACCATCTTGGCCAGTGGAGAGAAGGTGTTATTGCAGCGCGCGGGTCATCAAATGCGCGATATCATGAGTTGCACAATAGTGATAGTCGGCACTTGATAGGCCGAGGCGAACAAGGGGCGCGGGAAAGATAAGTATGCAGACGAAGATAAGGTGCACGAAAAGAATGACGGAGATCGCAGCCTACACGACTCTTCAACGAAGCAAGCCGGGCAAGCCTTGGGAAACTGAACCGAGGGGTGTGAGCGAGTGTTGAGGCCGGATGCAGCAATGGGCGTCGGAGATAAGATGGGCTGTCACGGCTTGGCGCAGTACTAGCCGCAGCTGGACAGGAACGTCACCGGCCTCGCCCTCGTGCCTGTTCTCCAGATTCTCCACCACCCACCCACCTCCATACGCGACCCCAGCGACCATCACCACCATGGGCGCCTTACTATCTGTTCCCTTCTTGGCCATGCCGGCCATGAGCACCGTATGTCGCGTGCTCCATCACGTTTGCGCACCCTGCTAACATCACCAGGTCTGGAGCCTCGCCGCCTCCTGCTGTGGCGCTGCGACATGTAGCGCCGTCATGGGCTCTTGTGGAGGAAAATGTGGCAACAGGTGGGTGTACAGATGCATGCGCTGATGTGTATACTGACAGTCTGCAGCATTGCCACCCGTATTGCATACGCGCTCATCCTGCTCGTCAACTCGATTGTTTCGTGGATCATGCTCACCGACTGGGCCATGAAGAAGCTGGCACACCTTACCCTTGATTATGTCGACATCAAATGTCTTGGAGAACAATGCTACGGCTACGTTGCTGTGCAGCGCATCAACTTTGCTCTCGGCTTCTTCCACGTCATCATGGCCCTAATGCTCATCGGAGTACAGACTTCAAAGGACCCGCGCGCAACTATACAAAACGGCTTTTGGCTGCCCAAGATTTTTGGCTGGATCGGCATGATTGTTCTGACCTTCTTCATTCCCAACTCGTTCTTTATTGTGTGGGGAAACTACTTTGCCATGGTTGGCGCATGCCTGTTCCTCCTCATTGGACTGATCCTGCTTGTGGACTTGGCGCATAACTGGGCCGAGTATTGCCAGGAAAAGATTGAGACTACCGATTCGCGTGTCTGGACTGGCATGCTTGTCGGTAGCGCCTTGTTCATGTATCTTGCTTCATTTGCCATGACGATTGTCATGTATATTTACTTTGCTAAGAGCGGATGCGGCATGAACCAGGCAGCCATTACGGTAGGTCGAGTTTTGCGCCAGCACAGGATATGACTAACATTTACAGATCAACCTCATCTTGCTCTTGATCTCTTCCGTTGCTTCTATTCATCCTGCGGTACAGGACGTAAACCCGCGCGCTGGTCTCGCCCAATCTGCCATTGTAGCCATTTACTGCACATACCTCACCATGTCTGCTGTGGGAATGGAGCCCGATGATCATCAGTGCAACCCATTGATCCGTGCTCGCGGTACCCGTAAGGCGACCATCATCATTGGTGCAATTGTTACCTTCGTTACTGTCGCATACACCACCACTCGTGCAGCGACATACGGCCTGGCTCTTGGCGCCCAAGGTAACCCTCACGGAAACGGATATGCCCAAGTCGGTACCGAAGACTACGAACACGGTCTCGTTACCCAGCAACCCGAATCTCGTCGTGAAATGCGCCAGGCCGCACTTCGCGCTGCCGTAGAATCTGGTTCCCTGCCCGCCTCTGCGCTTGACGACTCGGACAGCGACGACGAGGACGAAGGGCCCTGCAACAAGAAGAACCCACGTGATGATGAGCGCAACGCGACACAGTACAACTACACGCTGTTCCATGTCATCTTCTTCCTCAGCACAACCTGGGTCGCTACTTTACTTACTACCAACTTTGACGAGAAGGACGTATCTGGCAGCTTTGTACCCGTCGGTCGCACCTACTGGGCTAGTTGGGCTAAGATTATCAGCGCATGGGTGTGCTACGGCATCTACACCTGGACCTTGGTTGCGCCACTGGTGCTTCCGGAAAGATTTGATTATTAGTTGTGCAGTCAAACTGAGGCTCAAGTCGAGATTTGGCTTGTCTTGAGGAAACTGCGTCAGTCTAGACTTTGGGGTTGATGTACATTTGCATACATGTATTTTTAGAACCTGATGCGATTCAAACGGGGCTAAGCATGTGGCTGGCGCCCCTGTTGTTAGTACCTGTGTATCCATATCAGTGGCTTGAAGCTCTGTATTTATGGTGTTTGGTGGCTTTTCTTATGTTTGTTTGTATTGTACCCCGGAATAGCATCACTACCCGAGATCTCCTGGTCTGCTTTGGGATTATAGAGGTCTTTGCCAACTCACGTTAACCCCAATATTTCCCTAGCGGCTACTTCAAAAAACCATGCAAAAAGGAAAAAAAACAGAGCCACGCTTGCTTCGCTCTAGAAGAGAAAAAGAAGAAGAAAAAGGCAAGAAGGGAAAGGCGAGTCAAACACGTCCCGCCACTGTCGCTGTCACTCTAGCCCGACAGCGCAACGACACTCCCGCAAACTCTCTTTTCCCCCATCCCCTTTCGGAACCCGGCAGTCTCAACATCACTCTTATCTTTTTTTCCAAGCACCACCACTACTGCCGAACGCCGCCAACAAATAAACCTCAATTTCCCTTTCCCTCCCCCCCCCCTTTATTCCCCAAATGCAGTCATGCTTACGGGATGTGTGTAAAGTATGGCCGGAGCGCGCGAAAATAAAATAACGCCGTCCGTCATTCGGCTGTTCATGGGGGGTGGGAAATCAAGAAAACAAAAAGAGTGGTCGACATTGTGTATTTTACCCTTTTGCCGTGAACGCCGAAAGGGGGTTGATATAGCGCGTAAGACGGGATAAAAAGGCTAGAGAGATGGTGATGTGCGGGTTGCTCGGTGATCGACAAGTGTGGGGGGGATGTCACGGTTGAAACGAAACGAAAGATGGTAGGTGTGTGAAACAGAGGGAAACGTGAAGCACGCACGCCGGGGAGGTGGGAATAAGCTTTCGCCCCCGTCTTGGGGTGGGGAAATGGGGGCGCAAGGAAGGGAGTTGTTTGGCAAGGAAAGGGAATGGGGAGAGGGGAATATGGTGAGGGAGCAAGGGGGACATGTGGATAGTTTGGAAAGCCGATGGTTTGTGTCGTATCACGGTGCTAATCCGGAGATTTTTCTTTTTCGTCGCGGTACTTGCAGTATGGTGGTGGTAGCAGGTTGGTGATGGCAGATGTCGAAAATTGGAGAGAGGGAGAGTGGATTAAGTTCTGACAGGCAAGCCATTTCATTTCCCGACAGGTCATCTGGCGTTTTTTGACAGTATGTAGCGTGGTATATTCCCCCCCCTCTCAAAAAAGCAGCAAGTCAACGGTCAGGTACCTTTTCGCATCTGAGCATAATCTCAACAAACGAACCCTTTTGCTTTTTTTATTTTCAAATATACTATTTTTTCAAAAATCAATGGCCTCAACAGTGGCTATGGCGTTTCCTTCGGATCCCCGCCGTGTTGTGTTCCCCCAACAACCACAAGTACACGCACAAGCATATGTTCAACAGCGACACCGAGCGTCGCAGTACACAAGAATGGCAGCGATAGACGAGTACGACTTGCCTCCCCGGCCAACGAGACAGCGAAAGATATCGCATAGAGGGGCCAGCGGGTTATTCGACGACATAGACGAGAGGAGTTATCGCGACGCTCACGAGATGCATCAAGTACAGAGTCCACAAAGCGGGGCCCACCAGAGTGCGAAGGAGGAAAGGGCGGCGCGGCGCTTAGCGATGGGGAAGCCGGCGGAGTCGCGGTTTGAGGGTTTTGTTGCGAGGGTTTTTACGAAGCAAAGCAGGAAGGGAGCCGAGGCTGAGATCGAGGTGGATGAGGGGAAAGAAGAGGGTGACGGGAGGAGTGAGATTGAGAAACGAGGAAAGAGCATGGTTGAGGAGGCTACCATCTATCAGCAGAAGGAAGCTGCCGCCGCGGCAGCGGCAGCAGCATCGGATAGTCTCTTCTTACGAGAGTGCGGTATGGTTAGGGTCCAGGCGAATGCGCCGGGAGGTTGTATCATTGTTCCGAGGAATTTCGTCTATCGCGAGGATTTTACGTACAGGGAGGATCGGGATGCTGGGTGGATATAATGTCGGCTGGGATTTTCCGAAGTGAAGTTGATCCGGATGGTTTGGAGGACGTTTTTACTCTGATGCCTCATGTGGCTATTGATGGGCGTAATGCAGGACTGGAGGCACCGGAATTTCATGAGATCCGGGACGAACGAGGCAGAAAGAAGCTATCTGAGGCTCTCGTGGTTTTTTTTCTTCTTAATCATAATGGAGAACATGGCGGGTAGCAGGCTCATCGGACCCTCCCCACACCTGCAATCTTATCTTCGACCGTCTTCATCAGCATCTCCTTCTCTTTGACTGCTTTGACTCTATCGCCCTCCAGGTCTTCCAGCTGCCTCTCTAGTTCCTTCATTCTCTCCACTTGTTCCTTCTCACTCCAGTTTAGACCTGGCAAATGTGCGATCAACTTTTCAATTTGCTGCTCTTTGAGCGTAATGTCCTGTGCTAGCTCTTTGATATCTGCTTGAAACTGCTCTGGTGAGGGTTTGGGGGGCGGTGCAAATGGTGGCTGGGAAGGATCGTTTGCGGTGTTGTGCTGCGCAGCTTCACGGGCTTCCAATTCGGCAAAACTATCGAGGCGCTGTTGGCCTGGGGGTACACTTGGTGGCGCATTCTCTCTTATTTGGCGAAGAGCGGCTGCCATTTGATTGAGGAGCTGGGGCTATCAGCATGGCTGTGTTGTGTTTCTTTGTTGCGTGGATTGCAGTACCATGTCCAGCTCATCCTGGATTTGGGTCAAGATGTCGCGCATTGTTCCAGGAGTGTATGGAGTAGGTCAAAGAGTCGGGTGAGTGGGGTTGATGTAGTGCAGGTATACATATAGCATGTATCTACACACCAAGACGCAGCTAGCCGACTAGCGCCTCCCTCAAAATTACTATGGAGACGGGCCAATCCTCACCGCGCCCACCTGACATGCCAGTAATTCCCACGCTCACGCCCACGACACCCGGCCTGCGCTTCACCCACTGCCATCGGCTGTAAATATGTTCCGCCCTCTCTGTTCTTTTAGGATACCGTAATGCGACCCTCCCTACGCCCGACATGGCCCACAAACTCTTCGCTACTCGCATGGCTTCCCCGAGCAACTCCGCACCGCGTCCCCCGCCGCATCGCAACCACTTCCGCCCATAATGCAGCGCCTGTTGACCTCCCCAAGATGGTACTTTCCCCTGGCTCTCCTCACCATAACTCACTGCCCACCTTCCTCGAGTATGCAAAGCGCATCAATCTAGCATCGGATAACACCGTCTTCATTGGCACACACTACGAGTACACAAGCGCGCTGGCCCTCATGCGCCTAGGCTTTTCGCTGCTACGCATAGGACGCACTTCGGATGCGGGCATTGATCTCATCGGCCATTGGGTCTTGGCCCCATTGAGGGAGCCGCTGCCAGTCATCATCCAGTGCAAAGCGCGCAAGATTTCGGTAAACCCCAGTCATATCCGCGAACTTGAGGGCTCCTTTTCTGGCATACCGCCTGATTGGACCAAGAAGGACGTGCTTGGATTACTGGTAACGACAAAGAAGGCCACCAGAGGGGTGTTGGAGGCTGTGGGCCATAGCCATTGGCCCATGGGCTTCGTCTTGATCTCTCAGCAAGGTTTAATACAGCAGTTTGTCTGGAATCGCGCGGCGTGTGATCGGGGGTTGGAAGGCGTGGGTGTTACGGTGAGGCACACGCCACGGATCCTATTACCCGACGCCGAGCACGAGACCGAGCAAGATGAATCTGGCACAGCGAGGAAGCGCGTGGCCAAGTTTCAGAATGCCGGCACGAGGAGGGACATTCAGTTGACATGGATGGGCTCACCTATCTTTCCAGAAAGAAAGGAGCTGGATCAGGCGACGCTTGGCCTCATGCGACAAATCCCAGCCGACGAACCTGCCAAAGTCGCCAAAGTTGTTAAAGTTGTTGATATGGGGAAACGGCGTCCAGGACGCCCAAAAGGTTCCAAGAACAAGCCACTTGTTGAAGCTATTGAAACAGTTGGCCCGAGGCCCAGAGGCCGCCCAAAGGGTTCCAAGAATAAATCAACCCTTCAGGCCGAAAAAGAAGCTACATACAAGCCCAGAGGCCGACCTAAGGGCACAACAAAACATTATGCGGAAAAGATGCCATTTCCACGGGGTGGTTTAGTTCCACGCACTCTTAAGAGCTACTGCGGCCGACCCAAAGGCTCCAAAACAAAGCGACGAACGACAGTTGATGATGAGTAGAGATATGGCATTGTCCAGGTTTTCCATCCGGGGTGATACCAACAATCAAATATGATACCCGCTGCTTGGCTGTCTGTAGTGCGATACTCGACATGTCATTTAGCAGCACAGCACAATCTCCAGAAAAGACTTGGAATGGAAGAATGCCAGACTGATAACCGAAATTTTCTCAATGATTTCAGCATATTATAGCACATTGCACATCATCCACCTTGCATCCCGACTCTCTGCACTCTTCATGTGCGGTAATGCTCTCAGTGCGGACTGGGATCTTCAAGTTTAAAACAAAAGACAGCATGTTGAAAGTTTAGGCATTAGTTCAATTTAGTAGTATTGATAAGACGTGCATCTTGGATCAGCTCAAGTCGATTGAACTCACCGTTTGACCGTGCAACAAACAATCACTCTACACGTGCCCGAGATTTCCCCTCATGAATCCGGAACACGAAACTGAGCCGTTGTTTAAGATCAATAGCGCTGATCGATCGCGAGACATAGCTTTTTTTGGACATGGTGGGATCAGGTCACTTCGTGTCGTCACGTGCCCGGACTCCATTGATCGACCACAGGGACTAACTAGGACCTGTTTCGTCTGCATATGTAGCGTTGCTGGCATACAGCCTGGGCATCGATGTGTTTATTACTGGTTGTGCTTGCAGCCTTTGTAGCCACATATCCGTGACCCATAACCTACCGTTCTGTACCGCCGCATCCTGTGCTCTTGTTATCTCCACACTTTGCTTTCCTCAACCACTAGTGATAACTTCTATTGCGTGTTATGCGGGCATGTGCTCCTATCGCAAACTTGGTACCTCTGTCGCCCGGCTCCTGCCGAAGAAACCAGCGGTGCCTGATTGGTGGGTAGCGTTCGCCAGCACCCCTTTACCGCACCTGCACCCTCCAAACCATGGGGAACTTCGGTCATGATGCGTTTTCCGAAACAGTCATGCGAACTTTTCTCCACCACCATCGAGCGCAGAGTGGAAAACGACTCCTTTGTCACGCAATACATCAATCGCCTCGTTTGTCTTTAATCTCATCGCCTCTCATTGACCTCATATCACTATGAAACGGGCCACCATTGTGGGAGTGGTTTGTTTGTCTGCTCCTACAATACCAGAGTTTCACCTCACCGGCTACGCAATCAGGAACTCACAAGCGAAATCTTAGGACTGAACTGCACGGCAGAAAACTACGACAACGCTCTACTGAAGTTGCATCTTAGTTTACAACTCTCAAGGCCCAACATAACACCACACGACGACTGATTACGACTGACGACGAACTTCGCCTTCCACGTACAATCTTGAACAAAGAAAACGAATAAGCGGTTCGACGAGCTCCAAATGACACAAAATTCAAAAAGAGCACTTACAGCATCTATCTATCAGCAACTCGCTCCGCCTGCACACTACCGCACTGGACCCTACCCACCAAATGTGTCATACGAAATGCAAATATCACAACTCAGACATGCTCAGCAGCCACTGATTACCAGCCGTCCCGCTGATATTGGGATGGGTGCACAAATTACAACGAGGGACGATAAGGCTATCAGTAAAACATGGCATGACGAGTGGGAAACTGAGCCTAGACCATTCGGTCCTAGAAGGCCGTTGGCGCTGCTCAATCAGCCTGTACAAATCAATCTTCGAACACATCCTCGCAACGCCAAGCGTGTCTACCTCAATCACTGGGATCGCCAACACGAACCGAACGGCACCACTGCACAACGGCTGGTAATACAAAAGAAGCAGGTCAGGATGGAAAGGCGTACGATGATACTAAGGACTGAGCAACAAGAGGAAAAGCGCAGAGAGGTGAAGCAGGCGGCAATAAATGCGGATGTGGTCGATCTTACCGGAGATGGCATATCATATGAAAAGGGCCCGTGGAGATATGACTCTGTCGGACATGCGGGATTTTCCGGTTCCTCTCATGAGATGGGTCACACCTGGGATCATTCATGGCAGCCATAGGTCACAAGACTGTTCACATTTGTCTCTGTAAATGAGCGAAATGTATGTAGTCGGGCTTGGAATGAAAGTCTGTAGTTAAGTCCCGTTTCCTCTTTCACGAACTTGCAAACATTTTCATTGAAGCCTCTCACTTGCATACATCGGGTAAATGGCATTCATATCTACGATGTGAAGATTAACGAGTGATAGCAGTGAGTGGAAACTTCGAGCAGTAAGAGTCACTGCCTATCATAACCATTCACTCTCATGTTTGTTAATGGGTCAAAGCTCATGATGACATTTTCACTTACACTGGCCTAATTCACCTCCCCGGACTTTCCTCTGCTGCTCATAGAAATAGCTCGCTCCTGTCCTCTTGCCTTAGTTATCCATAACCTGTGTTGCAAAATCAACCAGCAACTTCCAACACATTTCAAGATATCAAAGAATAGCCATGAACGATTTCAACCCTTTATTCTTTTCTGATATGACATCTGCACAGCTGTACAGCAACGATGAGCCGAACCAAACCAACTTCCAAGACATGTTTGCCTCTTTAGATCCTCTGCTCGATCCGCATATCAGCAAAGGGCCAGCCCCAGAAGGGTCAGCCTCCCCCGACGCATTGAAGACACCCACTAGTAGCCCACCGACCGCACCTCAAAAGATGGATTGCGATATTCAGTCGAACAACGATACATCACAGAAAGTTTTAGTGGCAAGTCCTCTTGATCATTCCCATGTCCCCACGGTTCCTACTGCCACCGAGTCAAAGACGCACAATGGCATATCCACAGGAAAGCTGCGCGCACATTTCATGCTCGACATGCCGCATCATGAGTACATCTTTCCGACAGGAGGAGCTATCAATGCAACCATGGTAGAAATACTTGTTCTACTCCCTCATTGGTTTCGCAATCCCCAAATCTTGATGCGCTTCTTGAACAACGGCCTCACGTCCAACATCCACATCACGATCATGGAAGAATACCGTAAACTCGAGCTTAACACAGGCGAGGAAATAGAGCGCGCCCGTGACTACATTGCCGACTCATATCGTAAGGCTATGCGGAAGATTGTGCCCTCATGGTTAAGACGCAATCATAAGGCACCAGAAGATTGGGACGCGACCGTGATGTCTATTGAAAACGTCATTCCTGAAGCAGCAACGAAAAGTGGATATGTAGCACCAGCATCTATTCCATTCAAAGATCTTGGAGTCGGACTGAAGAAGCTGCCTCAAGGCTATGATGCTGGAGATCTCACACGTGCGCTCGACTACGCGATGCAGAACGGCAAGCCTGGTAAAGACGGAACCACTACTGAGTTCATGTTCCCAGACGACATTCACATAATTTTGAATCACATCGGGAGGACTGAGATTACGGTCACCCACCTCGACACCCACGCCGTCCCCCGGTATGTCACTATGGTTCGTGCCACAGAGCAAGCACGCCGCAAGAAAATTGCTGATGGTAGAATGCAAAGGCAACCCAAGGTGGAGTCTATCCAAAAACCTATGGATGTGCCTCAGTCACCTCAGCAACCTGGATCAAGTCAACAGGCACAGATGCCGCCACCACCTGAGACCATGTCAACCCACTTCCAACTTCAGCAGACGCACTCCACTACCATGACCTTCTCAAACGTACAGACCAACCTCCCATATAGAGGCATGGGTATCACACAGATGCCTACACCCCCTTACCCACAGCAAAACCTAGCGAACCTCGGTATCCACACCTTCAACAACCCTTACAACCCCATTCCACAACAGACCCACCCTCTCTTCCGGTCTAGCTCACAACAAGCCGCCGCAAGCGTAGTCTCTGAACTACTAGCATCTCGTGTGTACACCCAACAGCAGCAGCAGCAGCAACAGCCCACTGTGGGGTTCCCCAATATCCCGAATATCTGCCAGTACCAGGGCGAGGAAGACAAGGCACAGTATGATTTTGAACAGGTGTTACATTATCCGGGGCATTGGACGCAGGAGGAGCAGATGCAGGCGCTTATGGAGGCGAATCGGACGGTGAGGGGGGAGTTGTTTACGAAGGTGGAGAGGTGGATGGAGCAGACTGATGAGGAGGGTGGTGGTTCGTCAGTGGAAATGCAGGATTAAGGGTGTGGAAGAGATGGGTTGATGGCGTTGAACTTGTTTTGGGGATACTTGACAACAGTCACAGTGTAGTTCTGTTGCCTGTGTATGGTATGAGGATTGCAGAGCGTGGGAAAAGTTACGGGACACTTTTGGGTCATGGTAGCATGTTCATGGGTTTTTTGGAAGGGGGTAAGACTTGTATATGGGTTAATTTGCAGGCGTAGTGTGTCGGGCCGGTCTGGATATGAATTATGATGGCAACGGCACCATTGCTAAAAGTCTTTCTGTGTTCAATGTGAGACGTACCTCAATATCAAACAATAGCCATAACCAAGTCACAAGAATACCCACAATTTTTCCTCATCCATTGACATATCACGTGACATACCCTTCACCGACTCGCACAACTCACCCAACCAATGACACGCATCAGTCGCATATCAAATGCAAGTCCCCAATCAAATCAACCACCTAACCTCTCATCCAACCAAACCCCCCTACACTCACACTTCACCCCTTCCCCTCTTCGTCCACCAATTCCCACCCTTGCACCCCCTCCCCACCTATTACCTCACGCCGAAGCAGCACTCGCAGCCCGCACACCCATGCCGGACCACCCGCCCATCATCTAAAAACGGAAGATCGCCCTTCCCATCCTCGCTTACCCTTGTCGTTACCGGCCCACAATTGCCAACCCCCAGCCCGCGCAAGACGCCGCTACGCCCAACACAACCCAAGCACGCCCCAGCTCCTCGTAAATCCGCCCGCGCAGCATGCGCACAAAAACGCCACGCCCGCAACCCCCCCGTTTCGAAACAAGAGAGAAGCGCGTAGGAAGGAAAAAGCAAAGAAAAAAACACTCTCGAAGAAAGTGTGTTTTGTGGGATTTTGTTGCGGTGTACACCCCTCTCCCTCCCCTGCCCTGGTAATTGAGGGCTGGGCGCAGGGCGCAAGGCTAGGCAGGACGAAGGAGGGGGGAGGCAAAAAGGCTGGACCTCACACCGGGCGTTGCAAAAGGGCAAAGAAGGGGAAAAAGGAAAGAAAAAAGCCGAGATGAACAGCGTCAAGCGAATGCAAGAAAAAAACGGGCGTTTAGGGCACACGAGCTGCGAGCATGAACGATGGAGCGGGACAAAAGCAACACTTACTTACTCATGCACAGAAAAAGGTTGTCATCGCAAAAGCTCACAAGACGCTAACTAAACCTCTATCCCCCCCTTTCTAACCGTACTAACTAGCTAAAGTACCTATAGATTTTCCCGTTCATTCTTTTTTCCTTGCTTTACGGAAAAGGGAAGGGGACCTCGGCGAGGCGGGACGGGTGGGATCGATCAGAGAGAAGAAAAAAATAATACAATAGTCAAGTAGCAAGGCTGGCGTTGGCGCCGGTGCCTTTTTTGTGCACGCGCGCGGGCGGACACACATGCCCACTTTCCTTTCCCTCTACTATGTTTCCGTTTTCGGGATGACTATGTAGGCGTTTTTTGATGGCTTCGCCTTTTGGCGAACAGAATTCAGTAACACCGAGGAGGCGAGAGGGGAAAAGAGAAGCTACTGATTCGATAAAAGGGAAAAGGTGGGGCGGTCCGGTTACTGCTTTTGGTATGAGGGATAGCGAGTCGGGAGGATTTGGGACCTTTTTTTTCGGTTGGCTTTGGGGTAACATCGGCCGAGAGGAGGGGGGTTGCGCTAGATACGGATACGTAGAGAGAGCGAGTTGACTCTGCGGTTGTCGCTGGAGTTTTGTAGCGGTACGTGGGAAACGTAGAATGATACATGGAAGTAGATAGATGGCGGTACGTAGTCAAACTCCTCTTTTCCAGCTGGGAATAAGGGGAAAAAGCAAAGATACCATACTTTCCGCCCCCCCCCCCTCTTCCTTCCTTCCTACCACTATTTCCAGCCCAAGACTACAGTCGCCGACCATTACAATTCCCCCACCATCACTATCTCTAACCATACTTACAGCACCCGCGGGTCACCTCACCTACCGTTACTGTACCTGCGGCATCTTTTTTTCAGCCCGCCAACCTCCCTTACCCCGCCACCACCACAAACCCCCCAAAAAACCGGTCTCCAATCCCCATTTTGCATCTCTCTCTCTAACTAACCCGTTTTCGGAGTGCGAAGGATTCCGGAAGTCGTTGCTTCCGGTGGACTAAACTGGGAAGGATGGGACATGCAGGTGAGCGAATTCGGACGGGAGAATGGGTTTTTTTGAGTTTTTAAATTGGGGCAGCGGCGGCGAAGGCGAAGGGTACGTAGAGAGAGAGGGACTGGCGGGTGTAAGTTGTACATATGTATGTATGCGTTGTTGTAGTTGGGGTTAGGTAGGGTAGGTGTAGTGGCGGTGTGAGGTGTGAAGTGTGAGGTGTGAGTTGTGAAGGGCGAGGCTGGGCTGGGCTGGGCTGGGCTGGATGGATGGATGGGGTGGGGAGAGAAGGAGGGCTGAGAGGAGGGATGGATGTAAGGGAAAGTGGGGGATAGCGAGTCAACTAGAAATGTTTCGGAGTAGATGGATGTTTTTAAATGTCTAAGAATGTATGAGGTTCGGATAAGAAATAATGGAATATAACTCCCGTCTTTCCATCCTACTTATCAAATGTGCTATTGGTAATCCCGTTATCCGTCTCATATACTGTAGGGATGCAAAGAGTTTTGAGATGAGTGAAAGTTTTTTGTTCGTAGTAGTGATAGTGGTGAAGTGAAGTATTTTGTGGTAAGTAGTGTTGCGGTTTTATATATTTCCTGGATTTAGCTACATACATCATCTAACCATATAGCCATAAAATACTCTAATCGATTTCTGATATTTTTAACCAAGTCTTTTCTGTTCAACAAATCACTCAGTGAGTTTTGTCGGACATGTAAAACGTGAGATGCAGGATGTCGGAGGGAAATGTTGAATTAAAATTGCGACAGAGAAGAAGAAGGATGAGAGTAAGGAGATGTTCAGTGCACATCACGTCTAGGATGCGGAAGAGACGGATAAGCAAAAGTTAAATTATCATGTCTCTCTGCTTAGTAGTACGGCCTAATTTCTAAAGTCTACAACATGTGCGAAATTATAGAGTAGTATTTTTCACGACGACTTGGAAACATTTAACACCACACCCCCATGCCCTTCCCGAAGATCAACAACAAGAAAAGATTCTCTGCTTGGCAGAAATTCAAAAACAAAGATATCGTATGATTGCTGACTGCAGCAGGTACAAGAAAGTGTGATACTACAAAGTACCAAGACAACCCTTTGATATGAAGATCTACATAACAATCACATGCAAAAACGTTTTTTGGTCATGATTTTCAAATGTAACAAAAGCACAGCCACACACATACATACAAGGCACAAAAAAAAACGACGATACCTACCTTCTCACGTTCGTATCAGAACCTTATCCAAAACCCTTGCCTCACCCCTCCCCTCAGAACCCTAAATCCATCCATCCAGACCGCCGCCGCCGCCTCCCCACGCAGTCGAACGCACAACAAAAAAACCAAACCAGCCCGCCCAGCGGATGATCACGATCCCCAATGACGTAGCCCTTCGCCCACATCCCCCCCCCCCCAAAATGGCCCGCCCGCCCCGTCAATCACTTACATACGTAGTATCCGCCCACGCGCCGCCTAGCCCTAACCCGGATTCGCATTCGGGAAACAAACAACGGCAAAACACGCAACAGAAGTGAAAGAAAGCCTCGGGTCAAAACCCACAGAAACCTGACCATGCCTGCTTGCAAAGACAGAAAAACTTCCACTCATTCAAACGGGAATAAATGACGGGATCCCCAAAAAAGCAAATGAACCATCACCGTCCCCCCCTCGCATCGCGGCAACACACCCCGGTACAACCTCGCTATCCCATGTCAACCTGTGCGAAAGCCCGAACGGGCATCCTTATAAAAGAGGGAAAAAAGAGCGCAAACAAGGGACAAGCGTATTTCGGCAAATTTCCGCCGCCGTCGGGCATAGTCATCGTCGTGGCCGTCGCTGCCGCCGATGCCACACTATCGCCCCCCCATGCCACCGCCGTCGCCGCCGCCGTCCGCCGTCCGCGCCCGCCGTTTTGGGGGCAATTCTACGTAAACGTATTTGACCAACTCGCCCTTTGCCGCGTCGTTTGTACACGTATAAGTATACATGATGATGATTTTGTGAAACTCGTACATATATGCATCTTTTTTTTGTTCGATTAACGATGGACTAGACAAGAAAAAAAATGTCCGAAAACGGATGGGGGCACAAGGGCTTGGAAGCGAACACCGGATTGCCCTTAGGCCCCGTCGCCGTTTCTTCCTAATGCGGAAACAAACCGTTGGCCGAAGTGTGTGAGCATAGGTAAGAGCAAGGCCGAAAGCGAGGGGAGAAAGGGCGACCAGAACCCCAAGCTGCCGCCGTAGCGAAAAGACCAAACGGTAAAACTAAAAAAGTTGCTGAAGAAGGGGAGGGGGAGGGGGGCACACAACCGTCGTAACCGCAGAAAGCATCATTAAGATCAAGATTAATATCTCCGAAGCGTGACCGTTGTGATTTATTTTAGGTTGCCGATTATCCTTGTAGAGGATGGTGAATCTTCAAAGGAATAGAAATGTGGGGTGATACTTGTGCTGGGGGAGAGACATGGGAGGGAGGGGGAGGGAAATTGATTGGCTGGAATGTTAAATGTCCCTCTGCTTCAGATAGATTGCAAAGAGCTGTGTTGCCAGCCTGGAAAAAAAAGTGCGGCAAGTAAAGTTAGCAAAATTCGTGGCTGTGATCCCTCGGAATGCGGCAAACGAACCAAGCATATTGCGTTGTTGGGGTTCGAACGGGACGACGATACGGGGACCAGGATTGTTCGCTCGATCTGTACAAAATTAGCGAGCGGAGTTATCTCCGCTCCGCTCGCTGGCCGTTCAAAGTCTGTCAATCAATTTGTCTGACTTTACCCCCACCCCACTTACTGTACTTCCCCCCTTCTTTGCAGCGTGACATGCGTAAGTGTACCCCTTGTGCCGCAGCGCTGGTTCATTTGCCTCTTGTCTCGTATAAGCCAAGGGGACTCGTAAAGCTTTTTGCTTCACTTTTGGATGATCTGTTGCCCCGGATGCCTATCAAAGTCAAACACGGACCGGTCAAAGAACACGAGATTTGCACAACGGCACTCGCTGCGATTGGATCCCCAAGCCCGCTCGTGCCCCTCTGACCCCAACCCGTTGGTGTATGTAAAGACGCATCACAAATTGCAGGGAATGACAAGCAGCAGTTACAGCTGTCCGCTCCGCTATAATTAGACAAAAAGTGGTTTAGCGTTGCACAACGGCTTTTCCATGGGACTGGCTCGGCAGGCCACCAGCGGCACAAGCGGGCTTCGCCTGGCATTCTGGATCCTTGGCACTGGCCTTCTTGTGCCCTTCTGACCCCGCTTATTCGTTCGTACGCCAATTTGGCCTTGCATCAGGATGCCACCCCGGTCGTCTATCTGACAGCCGCGGGTCGTTGTAGGTGATGAAAGGATGGAGACTTAGATTGTAGTTCCGACGGCATCGGGCCGCGCGCGCACCTACGACTGATTGGGGTATGAGGTGCGAAAAGTACAATGTCGGCTTCGCTTGTTTCGTGACGCTCGAGGAATCAATGGCAAAGGGTTTTCTGGTAGGGATTTCTGTAAGACCATGCAGAGAATGAAGGGGGGGTTCGTGCGCGTGTACAAGTGTGCTCAACGACACTCTTGCCCGCAAATCAGGACCCAATGCTGGGGTTTTTTTACTGCTGCAAGCCGGGGAGCCGCATTCTGCAGTTGGCCGACGATGACGCAGCAGACTGCATGTCGCTGGCTCGCCCGCCCCGTGTCTGCATTACACCCACGCTGTACTCGCCTTTAGAAAAGCCTTGGAAGCATCGCACAGGGTGCGGCGCTTGCCTACGGCCCTTATGACCCAAGTGCAAGGTCTCGGGTTCGTGTTCAGTTCCTGACTGAGTTCCGAAGGTGGCACGGGGGGCCAAACGGAGGAGGGGCGAACGCCATGGTTGGGCGAGAACAATGGTCGCTCGTCCACGCCGCGATTTGGCCGCTGCTAATGTACGTAGGTGTGGAGTCGTGCAGCAGCAACAGCCCATGTCTCTTGGTGAGATGCAACAGACAGCTGTTTGGTGTGTTCAGGGTTGAGCGAGAGGCCCTACCAAGCTGCAAGGGTAGAGACGAGTGATCGTGGAGCAAACGAAAAGCGCAGTCCCATCTTGCGCAGGGTATGTATGGTCTGTGGGTGTAGTCTAACTTGGCAGCTCGGTATTCAACGGCAATCGCCAGCATTCTCTGCACAATAGGTGTGTACAGACTGGTGCTATTAGCCGTCTTACAATAGTCGGCATTTGCTGCACAGATGCCGGTCTACCTGCGCATTTGATTAAACATGGTGTACCTATCCCATTCGGTCACTCACCCGTTCAAGTGCAAATGCCGTGTACCATAAGCCCAATATAGTCATCCTAATTGTCCACCATTTGAAGCCCCCGAGGCTAATTGTATAGTCGCATGCGGCAGAGTTGTGTGCCGTGACCGTGGCCCTGGGCTCTCGCGTCCGAACGGTGTTCGTCCCCTCAACGGCCTGCCGGAGCGGATATTGTGTGTCGTGGGGTAGTAATTATGCGCGAAGTGCCATGTGAGCTGTTGCGTCGAACACGTTACCGTAAGTGGAAGCAAGGCGGGAACCATGTCCGGCTGATGCAGCAAGGCCTGGCGAATTATGTATGCGCTGTATTCCGAGGTCTAGCACATTGCTGCATGGCTCGAAGTGGACGGGGGCTGATGACCTGAATCAGCGTTCCTATTCGACTGGACCTATTGCGGTGTCAATGCAACGTACTTGGCGACCAAAAAGCTAGTTTTGAAGTGATGAGAAAAGCTGGCAGTATTTGTAAGATGAGGGGCTGCACTGCAGAATAGAGAGAAAAGATTCGTTGAAACTGCAATTCATTGACGTCAGATGGAATTGGAAGGATCGTGATTGGTGTTGTGGGGCTCTTGTCATCTGCTGAGGAAGCGCGGTGATACAAAGTGCGTCGGGAAAGATGCTTCTCGCCGACACTCGATGGCGTTTGTAATTGGGGAAAGACAAGATATCTGTTGCAATGTTGATTTTAGCTAGTCAGGTGTGAGCACTGCTGAAAGTGTAGTTTGTAGCCTCGTCATGAGCGAAGGAACGGCTAACACCGCTCACGTGAATGACAGTGACACATCGTATCGCGATCCTGGAATTGATCGGCAGAATTCGTTGTTAGGACCAGTGCGCAAGTTTATCGAAAATAATCTGGAATCCCACGGTGGTAGTCGGCAGGTATCAGCGAGTCAGTAGTACTCAAACGGAACGGCGAGATTTTCAAACAAGTTTCTGTTGTGTCTCGTATAATGTTGCATTGTCCGTCTTGATTGGTGCTCTGTCATATTGATGTAACGGAAGAAAAGCAGGCTATCTGAAAGGAGTAATTGTAGGCTGGCAGACAACAGTATTGCACAGACAAGTCTACGGTACGTGCCAGTGGATCCCGTTGGGTGTCGAGCAAACCGTGTGTACATTGACTAGTATGTGTGCATAATGTGGCGGGCAGAGACTCATGAAAGATTCTTGTTGGCTGGCAAGCTTGCCAAAGATAGGTACGTCTGGCGATGCACAGTTATTTAACCGTCGCCTACCCCTACCTGGAGCTTTCTGAAACACACATCGTGGCTTGATTTGAACGGTGTCAAGAGCCACACATTTTTTTATCGTCTGTGTAGAACGACTCATTTGACAACATGCCAATTATCAGCTGGAGGAGTAGACTAGTGCGCCTCAAGCTGACATGACAAAAGAGGAAAGAGAAAGACAGAGAAAAGGAGCAAAGGATTCGTGAGGCAATAACGTATATCGGCGTTTCAGTGTACGACCGGATACTAGGTCTTGGAAGACGAAAAAGCAAATGTAACACCTTGTTTACAAGACAGTGCTGAGTCGTGGATCTCCATCCGAGTGTAGCCAAGCGGACGATCACTGCTACTGCAGATCATATGCGCACAGGTCTCGGATTTGACTTGAGGGGGGAAGGGTCAGCGATGCTGTAGAGTAGGGTAAACTTGGTAGCTGCGATACATGGTTTGCCCGTGTAAACGTGATGAAAGGATACAACTAGCACAGGATTGGACCAAGAGTGAGAAAGTACCACTCCAGATAGCATCAAGACGGGTTTGGGTCGAGTGGTCCAAAAAAGTACGTCCGAGGAGGCACCTTCTGTGCCTGTGTACATACAGAGAGCACTTGAGGTTGCATCATACAGTCAAGTGTACAAGTCGAAGCTGACTCAAGAAAAAAAAGCAGCATTCCCTGAAATTCGATAATGAGTACGGTGTGTTCGGCGAGGTTGACCCACGCATGGCAATACTCGTCAGTCTTGGCAGAGGGCGATGCGGGCAAGCGTCATCATCAAGGTGTCGATGGTGATGAAGGACATGATTGTTGGCGATAAGGATTCAGCTTCCAAAGGTTAATTGATTACAACAGCGTCAGATGATGGCGTGGATGCAAAGAGAATTGCGCTAGCGACGTCTTCAGTTGGTAATGAGAAACAGGGGATGGCCATGTGTCGGCATGGGCCGAACAAACAACAGAGGTAAACGGAGAGACTCGGTCTTGGCCGTCGATCTTGCTTGTAATTTGCAGGCCACGTTGTGTTGTGCTAGGCTTGTGTGCGTGCGGGCGCGTGTGTTTGCTTCTGCTGCCCTTTTGAATAGGGAGAGAAAGGGGTTTTGGGCGGGCCTGTCGATCCGATTTGGGGCGTGGCCTCAGATCTGAGCTAAACGGCTTTTCCACGCTGGTGCTGCATCTTGCTTTGGGCGATTGAGAAACACGCGGCGTAGCTGCAGACTAGTGCACTAGAATGGAGTCAATGACGAGTCAGGCACGCTCATTTGCGGCAGCGAGTGCGGCCTGCACAAGACGATGCTGTGTAGGAGTAAGTACATGCGTATTGTCGGCCCTGATTTGCTTCCTCAAGGGAGTTGACAGGGAGGGAGCGGGGTCGGGTTGCATGTATGTAGATGGAAGACCTACGTAGTAGCTGTGGCCGGGTTGGCGGGACTGAGTGAGCCTCGACTCTGGTCTGTCACCTGGATGCCTGGCATAGTGAGGCTGGAGGGGGGCCACGGCGCGGTCTAGGTCATGAGTTTGACCGCTGGTGTGCCGCTGTCAAAAACCGTGGACTCCAAACCTCGATTAGTAAACGTTGATTCAACGGTAAACTGCATCGAGGAGAATGTGCGCCACAGTCGCCAGAGAGCCATGGTGACAGGGGGGGGGGATGTCGTGGTGAAGAGGGAA